CAAATTTGTGTCTACTATAGGGGCACAAATTGCCTATACTGGCTCACCACTGGTGGTGCCAACTTGGGCAATTCTAAATATCCTGGCCTCTCTCGTTTTCTGGATTTACATCATCTCCCCGGCCCTCTACTACTCAAACACTTGGTCTTTCGCATACTTTCCGATCCAGAGCACGGATATCTTTGACAACATGGGCAAAAGCTACAATGTGACCAAGGTTGTCAACAAGGCTGACGACTTCACCCTCGACTATGCAAAATACAAAGCATATTCTGATGTAAGCAATTTCTTTCGTACTCAAATGCTGCGACTGATTTCTAATTGAACAAGATCTACCTCCCAACAACATACGCGTTAACCAAGTTTGGTCTATCTTTTGCATGCATCTCGTCGCTCTTCGTGTGGCTTTTATTGGAGAAACGAAAGGATGTCATGAAGGCAATCGAGTCTTCAGATGTTCTTCGTCTGTTCAAGAAAGGGGACGTCGAGCGTGAATCGCCCCAGCCCGGTTACAAGTCAGTGCCGACTTGGTGGTATTTGGTGACATTAGCTATTTCCATTGGCCTTGGGATCTTTGTTAGCGAATATTACCCAGTACAGCTCCGTTGGTACGGTGCTATCCTGGCATTCGCTGTGTCGGCCGTCTTCTTTATCCCTGTAAGTGCAATGATTTGGGTTGTTTGCATGGCCCTTTTTGCTGACAATGTCGTATCTCTAGTTGGCATTGATTTGTGCTGCTACCGATTTACATGTCTCCATTGATGTTTTCTGTCGAATTATCGCCGGTTATATTTGGGAAGGCAAGGTCCTAGCAAATATTTGGTTTTTTGACTTGGGTTACATCACTGGCATCAAGGGTTTGTGGTTCGCCCAAGACCTGAAACTCGGCCTGTACTGCAATGTAAGAGTGCCCCTTTTCTCAATACAAAGATGGACCAATCTATTTACTGACGGCCACAAGATCCCTCCTCGAGATCTGTTTACAGTCCAGGCTGTTGGCATTGTCATCAGCACGTTGAGTCAAGTTTCAGTTGTTAACTGGGCATTGGAGCATATACCCAACATTTGCACCAACAAGGCGGCCAACGGTTTTACCTGCCCATTTTCTAAAACTCACTTCAACACGAGTATGGTATGGGGTGCACTTGGTCCTCGAAGATTCTTTGAGCCTGGTTCTCAGTACCGCCCGCTTCTCTGGTTCTTCCTCGTCGGCGCACTTCTCCCAGTGGCTGTTTTCCTGGTGAAGAAAAAGTTTGGTAAATCTCGGTGGATCCAGAAAATCCACGTTCCCGTCTTCCTAGGCGGCTTGAACTACATTCCTCCTGCTTCAGGAACCAACTACGGTAGCTGGGCCATCGTAGGTCTTATTTTCGGTTGGTGGGTAAAGAGGCATGCCCGGAAGTGGTGGATGAAGTACAACTTCGTCCTCAGCTCAGCGCTCGACTGCTCCCTTGCAATTGCGGGGATCGTGATATTCTTCACTGTTTTCTACACGGGTGCCGCAGACAACTTCAATTGGTGGGGAACATCTGTTTATAAGGTAAGCAGACAACATCCAATTCCATCCTCTTCTTTCGTATTTTACGTGAGCTAATGAGCCTAGAATACTTGCGATTGGAAAGGATGTCCATACAAGACTGTAGAAATGGGCCATAAGATCGGTGAGCTTTAGAATCGAAGGGTGAAGGATTTCAAGAACAGCTATCAACTTTGCTATGAAAGACCTCCTCAAAAAATATAGATATGTGTATCACTATTCACAATAATAAATCGATAGATCGTACCTGCGACCATGAATATATGTTTCCAGATTTTTCCAAAGCGGACTCTTTAAGTTTTATTTAATAATTACCGGGAAAATCGAGGCAGCCGGCTAATCTATCCCACAACTTCGTCTCGTGTCTACTCGAGCCACGAATACTTAAGCTGAGATCTGCAAGTAATGGCCTAATGAGCCTTCTACATATGAAATCGATAGCCAGTGTATGTATACATTGTTCATAAGCGGTGATGTCATGTGCCCACCATCCCCAGTTATATACGCGAAGGTAATGGGACTTAGGGAATCTTGCATCATAGCGGCGATCACTGCTCATACCGACATATAAATTATGAAGCAACTTGACCTTGAAGGCATAGTTATGTCAACTCAATATCTCGCTTTCTGACTCCACATGACTGTCACACCCAACGAGCAACGACAATGAATTCGAACAAACCGGCCAAAACAGGCAAGTCCCAAGTCACTACCACAGAGACCACCTCTGTTAGCTCAACTCGGGCGGATGAGTACGATGGGTTGCCCAAAGATCACCCAGTCCATAAAATCTCTATTGAAGAGCGAGAAAAGATGAGGAAGAAGGGAGTGAACCCAGTACTGAAGGCTGAAATGGACGAAACCCTTGGCCGAAGCAAGGAGGGGAAATTCTGGGTCAAATTTGGGCTGAACTCTGGGCTTAGACTTTAACTGAAGGAAACGATGGCAATCGCGATTACTTGTCGCAGGGCAACGGATCAGGCATTTTCGCTGCGACGAGGTCTCTCTTGATTTCCTAATACCCGAATGGCAATAATAAAATTGGTTTGACGCCGCATTGGTCTACTTGTGTGCGCCGGTTATCTTGCGTGAAACACAATGGCCGAAACTACTATGTATTTGGTAGCACAAGGTGAAATGTCGTGTTCAAATCAATCGCTACATCTACTGATTCTCGCATAACCGAAACCCAGTGTTAAGAATGCACAATTCTCAAAACCCTTGTACTCGACACATCAGTGTCTTTCTAGATCCAAAAATGGGGCCGCTGAAACCGAAATTCGGGTAACTCGAATTTCGTCATAACTGAGACTTGACTCGGATCTTTGAAACTTTTAATGCACATAGACCTGAGAGGTAGTGAGATGAGGACTTTTGCTGAGTCAGTGAGCTGAAAGATCGTCATGTTTTCGGGTTGAGCAAGTTTCATCTTCATTGAGTTGGAACCCGGGTTTGGATCAATTAGTTCAAGATCTACAAGCGCAGCAACAACAGCAAATTCATAAAAGAGTCTCTTTTGCTAATTGATTTGCGTTTGATGCTTTTAGGGTTCTTATTGTTCACGTTAACTTGTTTCACTAAGATTTTGAGGACAGGATAACACGGATCCACCTACCTTTCCATGTCGCAAGGGATGTCGGTTCGTACGCCTTGGAAAGACACAAATGTAAGGCCCCTAATGTCACAACCAATAGATAGGTCACGCTCTTGTGAATTGACAGTCGGAGACGGCGAATGACTGATAGTCCCGTCTATGCCGAGGCCATCGCGACGTCGCTGCGATGCTGCTGGAAGGCCCGAAAATCCATCCCTGCATTTCTATTTTGAACGTGTTTCTATATTTAGACGCAGGAACTTGAAAGAACCTAATCAATTGAGAAAGCCTTCGATCCTTTTTCTTTTCCCCGGTCGATTTGAATGATCGAAGCACTACTTGCGTGTAGGGGACAGTAATGCTATAATTTTGAATGTGCAACATGAGTAATAATTGAGACATTGAGAATCATATACGTCAATGGCTTGGACCTGCCCCGCTAATAACAAGGGAGAACCAATTCACCCGAGAAAAAAAGGAGCTGAAAGGGGGAAATTATTGGCGTTGCTGACGGGCAGGGTAGACTGTATTCACATATATACAGATACCTTCACGTATCGTGTTGCATCACTGATTTGCGCTTCTCCCTACACTTTTCGCCCTACCTGATATCAACCATGCGATCATTTGCATTTCTTCTCCTAGCTGCTGGCGCGCTGGCCGCTACTGCACCGGCATTCCCTATTGTAGGACTCCAAGTAATCTTGATTAGAATCTGCCGACTGACATGAACATAGGGAGTTGTCTATTCAGAAAACAACTACCAGGGAGATACACAGATTGTGTCAGTTGATAGTTGCACTAAACTCAACGAACGCCTGTAGGTTCATAGCTCCAACTTTCGCGACCAAGCTGGCCCGTGATATTCCTGTATTGCGATTAGGTCTCCCCTTGACTAATGATGAACAATAGACGCGGGAAGGTCAACTCTGTCCTGCTCTCAGAAGGGGCATTCTGCTTGACATATACGTGAGTCTCAAGTCCATCAAACGCAGTCAGTCAGCTTGGCTTACCCATAATTAGCGACGAGGCGTGTGCGGCTGAAACGGTGGTAGGAGAGTATCAGGAAAGCGTTGGTTCTACGGAACCACTGGCTGCAGTGGCTGTATCTTGCCACAACTGAACGGATACAGAAGCAATCACAATGAATGATTTCTGGGGCCACGAAATCGTTTATGATTATTGATTATATTCAGGACCCTGATAAGTTTTATCAAGTATTGTAAACCCGGAAGATATACACTTCCTCGGTTCTATCATAGCCGAGAGCTGTGGTCATGCTTTTCATAGGAACACTGAAGAGCCCTCCCCTCCTAGAGAGACATTAGACAAGTTAACCCTTAGTTCGAGATACTAATGCAAATAAAGCTAACATGTATTTCGCCAACAAAAATGTTTATAAGCATGTAGGGGCCAGTAGTAGTATGAGCTGCGAATTTAGAGACAGATACGCTCTCGTTGTAAGGTGCTCTACTACAATACCTAAAAGGATAGCGGCCATTATGCTAGCGATGGGTCTCGTTCACCTATTGAAACCACTATGTAAGTTGGTGAGTGTACTACTTAGGTACTTCCTCCTAGCCGGGACTTAGGTGTGTACTACGGTTGTAACTTGCCAATAACAGCCTTGGTCGCCGTGGTATTGCTATCTCCCCATATCACTAGGCTCAGCTCAGAATCTCCCGTTTTAGATCCACCCTTGACCAATTGATATTTAAATTCCAAGAGATAAGAATGCAGCGTTCCCTTGACCATGAAGGAGAGATGTGGTGACACTTTACATCGCAAATTCCGTCATTCATACCAGATCCTTAATGTGCACGCTGGTTATCAAGTACGGAGATGAGCTTTTCTTGATCCGACATGGTGCTAACTCAAATACTCGACAAGGCTTTGTGGATAGAATTCTCTGCCGCCAGCCCTTTCAATTAGCATTTCGTTAAGAGAAGAATACTCTTCTTTGTCTGTCTCCTCAGTCGACCATACAAATTGTTCCTCATCATGATGTTCCTCGTAATCATTCCGAGGGTGGTCCTCAAAGTAAGTCAGCTGCCCCAGCTTGCCGCATTCAAGACTTGGGCAGTTTTCTTTGAGATAAACAAACAGATCTTCCCAGTTACCACCCTCGATATGCAGCTTGGCGTCATAAATGTTGATACGTCGAAGCGCAGGAGGGGCACTGGATGCCGAATGCGGTTGTAGGAGTGACTTGATCGCGGCAACACTGACCCAGACACGGTCCAGAGATAGGACTCTCAAACCCCGGGATTTGGGCGATTTCTTCCAATCCAACCTTGCCACATCTAGGAACTGAGTCGCCACAATACAGAGACACGAGAGATTGGGGCAAGATGCGACAAAATCCCACATGGCGTCCTGGCAACCTTGGTTGGGGAACTGTCTTTGGACATTGCTGAAAGGAAAGTCATTCGATCTCAATCCCTGAACGTCCCCATCACGCTCCACAATCTCGAATCCGCTAATGACATAATTTTCTCGGCAGCCCATGTCTCCCGTACAGTCCTTGATACCAATCTTCAGGTGTAGCAGTCGTTCGCGGGCCTGCTGGTCCAGGCACTTGGCGAAGTCTCCCACGTGGTATGTGCACGGCAGATTCAGCGTCAGGTCAGCGAGGAACTGGAATGAAGGATTGGCTAGCGCGTTTTGGAAGAAGGCCACGCACGAATCGATCACCTCCATGTCATAAAAGTATGCTTTGCCCTCGGCGCCGTTGTCCCAATCGGACAAGGCCTCGGGGAAAGAGAGGCTCAAGGCTTCGATGTTACCCAAGCGGCTAAATATTCGGTCAATAAGCTCCCTTGGATGAGAGTTCTTGAACGGGTTTTCCGACAGTAAGTTAGTTTCATCTCGTCGGATTCGCCTATCAGCCGTTTCAAGTACTTCTTCTCCTGGTTGGTCCCATTCGTACGTAAAGATGCGCTCAAAAGCCAGCGCATCCTCGATCGAAGGTATCATAAGTCGCTTGACTGGATTGCCGGCGAATGCATGGACATGCTCGGCGTTTGGGGAGCATGCGCTGGCCACTCTTTGCAGCTTCTCCCGAGACCCAACCTCCGCGTTCCACCAAAGATGCTTTTCCAAGACAGCGTTGACAGCCGTGAGCCAGTCCCTGGAGACCAGCCGCACATTGCAAAGAGACTTGATATCAGGCTGTAGCGTGTAGAACGAGGTTCTTATCCACGCGCCACCACGCATGGCAGAATAGGCATCCCGGGGAGGGCCAAAGTACTTCAACGTGTCCCAGTCTAGACCGTCGCGGGCATCAAAGAAATCATCGAAATCAGGACACAGGAGATAGGACACCACCTCAGTCCTTATCTCGGCTGGTAGCATTAGATGGATCAGTCGACTCAATTGCGCCCGAATTTATGCCGCCGGTGAGTTTTGTTGGAGGAGTGAAGGGTTGAATGCACTATTATTGTTATCATAACCTTTTATCCCCTGGGCCAAAATCTCGGCTCAACCTTCCTCCTTGGGTCAGAAGATAAAACAATCGTCGGTCAGCTTTAGGGCCCGTTGACTGGGCCAAGCGTAAAGATCCTAGTAGGTAAGACTGTTGATATCTACCTACCTACCCTAGGTACACTCTTATGCACGTTACCTAGGTACAAAGAGAAAAACAATTTGACAGGATTCAATGCATACAATTTACGGTAATAAGGACAGCTTCTCGGCTCATGTGAGTGGAATGGCTTAGAGGCGGCAGTGACAATGTAATGTCGACTTGTTGTCATGCTTCTGTGTGTGCTCTTTAGTGACTGGGTTGTTCTAGTTATGGGCATACCGCTTCTCAAGTTCCTAGATCCAGCATGTTAATGACAGACACGACCGGGAGAACAATATACCTTACCCAATACTCTTCAAAGCCCACTGCCTTGTGAACTTCATCTGCCGGGAGGATCATTGGGGGTGCTCCAATTGTCATACTGGCTTTGAGGTTCTCCAGCGCTTCGTGGATGGCTTTCAGCTTGGCGGCTACCAGCGTGAAAGGGTAGCAGACGGCACTGAATCCAATGAGGGCCAGCTCTTGCGCGGGGATATTTTCAGTCAAACCTCCTTCGATAACTATATTCCAGTCAATCACAGAGTTACGATGACGAGGAGAAGTTAAGAGCGAAACCTACGATTGGCCATCATGGGTATATCCACCGATTCTAAACATTTCTTCATGGCCTCTTTGTCGGGAAGAGCTTCCACAAACACGGCATCAACGCCAAGCTCCTTGAATCGCTGCGCTCGGTACATGGCCTCCTCCCATCCGAGAATGAGAGCGTCGGTCCGTCCTAGAATAAAAATATCCCGGCCTTCGTTTCTAGCATCACATGCGGCCTTGATTCGCGCAAAGGCCTCTTCACGAGAGACAACCGACTTGCCTCTGGTATGGCCACATCCTGCGAAAATTCGGGTCAGCAGTCAACATAAGTGAAGAGTTGACCTGTCGTTGAAACCCTCAACGAGTTGTCTGTTCATACTTTTAGGCCAGGTTTGATCCTCAATCATGATCCCCGCAGCTCCAGCATGTGAAAATGATTGGACAGTCCTTCTGACATTCAGAGGAGAACCGTATCCAGTGTCGCCGTCAGCCATCACCGGGATAGAAACCTGCCGGACGCACTCCTGGATCTTGTCACATATCTCTTGCATTGCAATATATCCCGTGTCTGGAATCCCATGTGTGCTCGCCACGGCGTATCCTGAAATGAATATCATCTGAAAACCGGCTTGCTCGATCATTCGTGAGGATAAGCCATCGAACGCGCACGGTTGGGCTAAGATTTTGGATGTGTCGCCATGGGCCTCGAGCCACATGGATCGGAGCCTGGATGTCGGCTCGAACGGAATCTTACCGCGGACATTAGGTAGGGTCAACGTCACATTCTGGGAGATATTGGCCTTGTTGCCGATCTCTGGTTGTTTGCTTGTCGTCAAGGGAAAGGGGTATGGGACGCTTCCAGAGGTAGACAGTGACATGTCTAATATCTTTGAGGTACGAAGGTCTAGCGACAATAAATTTGGGGTTAGAGCGCTACTAGAGATTGATCACAAATGGTATGTTGCGATATGTTGAGCATGATTCCCCAGTGAGGGGCAACCATCAGTCATCAGATGGTTGGATCATCGATTCGATCATACCGCAGCGGCTCCGGTTCCGGAGGCAACCCCGCATATGGGCGGCCAATCTGAAATTCTAATGCGGCGGGCACGAGGAACAAAAAACCATACCTACAAGACACTGGAAGTATGGGATTGGTGAATGGTTTGGCATGAGGTACAGCGTGGGCACCGCCGAGGATGCTGGTGAGAGCCGCCAAATATTCCACTATGCTTAAAATTAAAATGTTGGTCGATAAGTTTGCGAATGCCTCACAGTGCCCCACCTTAAACTAGGAAATTCTAGATTCTATTATATCTAATATCTTAGATAATATATAATAATATAACTTAGAAATTTAGTATAATAAATAGAAATAGCTAAATTTTATTAAAATATAAGTTTTATATAAATTTATAGCTTTAATAAATAGTTATTTAATATTTTATCTATATAGTATAATTTTTCTCTAATTTATACTGTATTTCCTACTAGAGATAACTAAAAATCTTCCCTAATCTAAGAAGGAAGCTACTATAATCCTAACCCTGAGGTTTTTCTATTTTATCTCTATTTAAAAGCTGAACTATTTTATTAAGAAAAATCTTAAAAATAAAGTAAAAAGTATATATTATTATTTTACTAATAAATTTAATTTTTATTTAATAAAATATTTTTTAAGATTTTTATAGAATTTAATATTAGAGGTTGAAAAGTATGAGTTTTACGGGGAACTGTATGAGTGTTCGCAAACTAATCGACCAAAATAGTACCACTTCATGCGAGTCATGGGGAGCCCCGTCAAAAACAGGGCTGGCTCGAGACATTCTTATTAGCATCACGCGCGAGTTGTCTAAAGACCTGCCGGAAAGTGGCCCAGTGCTGCCCGAGGGATGGTTTTGGTATGACAAAAAACCAAAGATTCTGTGCATAGTAAATCACGGAACATGACTGATGACGGGCGTACTGAAGTAGCAGGTCAACCGGCGTTGACCGTCTCAAGAGCTAAGAATAGCGGCATTGGCGATCATCAGGCGGACAATTGAGGAGCCTCGTGGAAGAGTCCCGACGAGACGGAAGACCCTCGATATCCTTCTAAAACGGGGAACAATTGTTCTTCGTCTCTTCTGAGGCATGGGTTGGCAAGGCTAATTAAGCCTCCGTCAGCCATCGTGGTCTCCATTTAGCGACCACCATCGCACAGCCCCTGGTGGAGGAACGAGGATCGCACGGCCACTCTGCCAAGCCAACAAGTGAGGTTGAAGCCATGCTCAAGGTCTAATATAAGATGGATCAACATCTTCTCTCTTGATTCCTGATGGAATACCGCTGTGGTTGAATTTCACACCTTTTCCGACTCATTTCCATCAAGATGCTCTCCATTACCATCTTCCTCCTGTCAATGGCAGGATTTTTGCCGGCCACCCATGCACTGGCCATTGCCCTGCCAATCACCATTGCAGCCAGAGACTCCGAGTCCGACCATCGCGGATTGCCAAAGGGAGCCATTATCGGAATCGTCGTCTCTGTCATCGGCATCGGCATCATCCTCACCATCTTCCGCTTCGGCGCCATCATGTCCATGCGCAGAAAGCAGGACCTTATATACGTGCAGCAAGTTAGGAGCACCAACGGCAGCCCGACCTTCGATTACGACCGAAACAAATACTCGTCTTCGCCTGCTGTACCCTTACTCGCGAGTACCCAAGTGCCTGTTGCAAACTCAATGGCACCAGCTGCTCCGTCTTGGACAGGACCGCAAGAGCCTCCTCCAGCATACACACCAATGATCAACAACAATTCCTCAGTCGCGAACCCAGCTCCCTGAAGGGAAGCCCCCAGTTCCGACCAGCATGGCCAGCTGACAGGATTGGCTGGTGGCTGGCGGTTTCATCATGCCCCCCTCCCTAAAAATAGTTGCAATCTTTTGCAGTCCCCAAAATAGCACCCTGGAAGCCCGACACTAGCCAGGATCAGTTGTCTCCGAGCCTAGAGAGATCTAAGCGCTCTAGGAAGAGGCCGTTGGCCCATCTTCAGCAGCTCTCCAAGCGCCGAGCAAAGCAATTTGCAGAAACCCCTGCACAACGATTGAGCGCGTACTCACAGCTCGCGCCAACATCGTGCGCGGATACTGGCCGAAGATCCAGTTCTGGCAGTCGCCGATGAGTTCGGGACTTATCAGACCTCTTTCAGTAAGACGGACCTCATAGACGGCTCGCCTTTGCATCGCATGTGACAAGGCTGGAATTGCCAAAGGCAACACACACGAACGTGTCGCAGGCACAAGTAGTTGGAAGGAGTTAAATTGGAAACGATATTACAAGATTCTGTCCTTTCAAACTCAGTTATGCGGATAGTTAGCGTTATACTCCACTCTGTCGATGATAGCTCTTTATCCAAACATATTCACCCCCAGATCACTTAAGTTTACATGCTATGGGTACCTTTATGATTCCTGAAGGAGGACGTATTTGATGAGTAGAAAGGATCGAATGCGCTTGGTACTTTCTTGCATGAGCTATTATATTTGAGATGCCATCGTCAAGTGGGGAGGTACCCATCTTCGGTAGGTATGAACATCTCGAGATTCATGATGATTTAATTGAGGGCTCGCTAGAGTTCCCGGCAAGTGAGCGCTGATATATCCTAGGATGACATGCCTGCTTGCTGCAATCGACGGCAGAGCTATTTCGAATATTTGGAGAAGAATAGTTTGGCTGTCGTCCTCACTCGCCCAAGACGCCGACCCCGGGTTTGAACGAGATCAGCCAGCCTCTCAAATCCCCTCCAACGTGCCAAATCCATTGCCATCTGCCCGTCAGCATTTTTACATGTTATATCAATCTTGGGATGTTTGAGGAGTTTCAACGCTATGGCCTCTCTACCACGATCAACGGCCAGATGAAGAGCAGTCCAACCATCCTGGTTGACGGCGTTTGGGTAAAGCTCCACGCAACCCATCAACATATCAACAATCGCACCGTGACCCCAATTTACTGCGACGTGCAACGCCGTCCAGCCTTCAAAGTCGGGGGTGTTGATGTGTTCACGACAGTGTTTTAGAAGCAGCGTGAAAACTTCCGGGTTCCCTCCCCACGCCGCCCACCAAAACGCAGTCCGAGACCTATCGTCGCTCATTTTCAAGTTTATTCTTGGGTGTTGGATAAGCAGACTGACAATTTCGAGGTAGCCTTTCCTACAGGCGATGAATAAAGGCGTTGGGCCAGGGCGGTTTCCCAAAACTAGGGTTGGCGTGTACGACCAGCTTGTGCTTTCAGCCGTTCTAATGTGAACCTCATCATGGTAAGGTTCGCATGTGCCTGTTTGATTTACGTCAATGTTGGGGTGCTCCAGAAGAACCCGAACCATGTCGATTCGTCTGTTTTGGACTGCCATAACTAATGGAGTCTGGCCTTCGTGATACTCATTGGCATTTGTATTTTCCTGGGACAGTATTTGTTGTAGTCCATCCGTAGACCCGACCGAAACAGCATCTATAACAGGAAAAAATGGCCGCCGTTCTATTTCCCGTCGTAGGGGCAGTTCTGATACCATGAATGCATGCACTCCTGGTTGATTTGGGTCGACATCTTTTCGTTGGAGCAGTTCCCTCACAACATGTGGCCAGTGACGGATAATAGCAAGTCTTAGGGGAGTGTGACCGGAGTCAGGGTGCCCAAGATTTGGATCCGTGTCAGGCCGCTCCAGGAGCATCTGCACGATATCCTTCAATCCCAGCCTCGCCGCAGCCCCTAATGGTGTGAAGGGAGTTTCGTGGAGATTTGGATTGAGATCTTGCCGCATGAGGAGGAGCCTTATAATCTCTTCATGTCCCTTGTGCACAGCCTTTTCTAGCGGCCTCCAGTCCTTTGCTGAAATATTCGGGTCAATATCCTCTCGCCCCAACAGCAATCTAACGACCTCCGTATGACCTCTGAGCACTGCTAGTGACAATGGGGTCGTATGCTTCTCTTGCGCTCGGAAGTTCGGATCAATGTCACTTCGTTGAAGAAGCATCTGGACAACTGACGCACTTCCCAGGCCTGCTGCTGCACAAAGCAACGTCATGTCTCGTTTAATGATGAAATTAGGCTGCAATTGGTAGCGATCTAAAAGAAGGCCGACAATTGATGCATGATCCTGTTTAACGGCAAGCCAGAGGGGGCAGAACCTGCTTCTTCCAAAATGCTGGTGCACGTCATCTCGAGCCGTTAACATGCGAACTATCGGTTCATTTCCATTTGCAACGGCGGCTGCCAAGGGCGTTCCCTCATTTATGATTGAGCAATTTAGGTCGATTTGTGGCTGCGTCCCAACCAATTTGAATCCGAGATGGCTGCCGAGCTCCCTCCAAGTTTGGTCCACTTCTCTCATGCTATCGACCCATTGCAGCAGAACGTGAACCACCTTTTTGTGACCGTTCCTACAACCAAGTAGCAAGGCTTTACCGAGGGATTTTTTCGACTCTCGCACGGGCATTGTGCCTAGGAGATATTGAAGAGTTTTGATATGGCCTTGCCAACAAGCGACTTCAACAAGAGTCCCGAACCGCCCACTTGTTTCAAGGCTGCCACCGTGCTTTGCCAGTAACTTGATAATATGAACATGATTGTTGTATGCTGCGTTATACAAGGCCTTCCCAAGTACAGGATGGCACATATTGGGGTTTCCTCCGCCAGGAAGAAGCATATTAACTCCCTCCTCATCGCCTCGGAATGCAGCCAGAGGTAATGCCACGGTTGAGTGAGCAGCCGTGATCGCTTCTCCATCGACTTTTGACTCTGCCGCTCCTGTGAAGCTGAGTTCGTGATAGAATTCCCAGGCTTCTGGCCCTGGAAAAATACATGAATCCCCAACCAAGAGATTTAGCACCCACTTCCTGTCGTGAGAGGCGACAATGGCATCGCAAACGGTACTCAACCACTCCCAGTCGCCCCGGACAATGGAAAAAACCCAGTGTGTTTGAGAAGCCACAAAGGAGGCACATCGATAAAGATATTCAACAGGGCTTCTCTGGGATGAATACTCCATTTTCGCCTTGGTGAGCAGAAGCCAGCGGATAGTTTCAATCTTGTTTGGCCGACGATCAAGACTTAGCAGAGCAACTGCCCCTAGCTTTCGGAGTGCACATCGCGACACAACATGATTAAAGCTTCCTACGATGGAATTTAGCGAATTTCGCTCTGTCAAAAGATGGGTTCAAGGACTGATGGGAAAATAAACTGACGGCAGACCGTGCGAAGCTTCAAAACACCGGTCTTGGAGTCTGTGCTGAAACCATTCCAATTGGATGGGATGAGCGGCTGAATTATCTGTGTCAAGATCTCGAAAGGAAGGGACTGCAGAGACATCGTGGTGTTCACAGTCGAGGCTTGGGGTAATCAAAGCTTATGTATGATGGAAAGTTGAGCCGAAGAGTACTGATGATATTCTTTCTAATAAATCTCTTGAAGTAATACCAGGGGCGATAATGGTCATAGTATGTCAAGGTAACAATGACTCACGCAATGAGTGAAGCGCTGACTCATGCGTCATCTTCAATGGCCATCCCCTCACCCACCCCTGTTTATTAATGCAAAGTACCTAGGTACTATAGGTAGGTAGTTTGAGGGGATTGAAAGACAAACATGATTGAACATTTCGCTATAAGGCTTTGATATGAAAGTATGCCATGTTTCCACATAGTACGCCTGATTTCGTGTTTCCGCTTGCCTCTAGAGAAAAAGAAAATACATCATACTGGCGCCCACGGAATTAGGGCACGATTGTCATCGAAAAATCAAGCAAAGAGGCTTCTGCCAGTTTGGCGACGTAGTCTGCGCAACCCGGGAAGCCTCTGGCCCTTGCAAAACGCTGGGCCCTTGCCACCTCCCTGGCTGGGAATCCGCAGCCTCCTGTTGCGTCCCAGAGAACCTTGATGACATCCAAACGCCCGTTCTCTGCCGCATTCTCAAGGGCTGATCGCCCGTTGGCAGCAGAAGTTGGGCCAAAAAGATTAGCATCAATAGATAAAAGAAGCCGGACGATTTTTATACTGCCAGACAAGCAAGCAAGCTGTAGAGCTGTGCCTCCGTTTCGGCTAGATGCTGGGGCGTTAACGTCTGCACCCCATCTAAGTAGGAGCTGAACAATCGGCAGGCTTCTTCGCTGACAGGCACTTTGTAGTGGCGTTCGCGTTATACCTCGCTGGGCTTCCTTGTTCACGTCAGCACCACTCTTCAAGAGGAGTTCTACCATGGCTTCATTTCCAGCTTCAATCGCTATGAGTAGTGCGGTCTTTGGTGACTCCCAGTGATCAAGGTTACGGTTCCGTCCTTGGTCCACGCGTGCGATAGCATTAGGATCAGCCCCGGATTCCAGCAGCTTGGCAACAACTTCCAGAGAGGCAGTGCCATGGCGCTCGACAGCGCTGCCAAGTGGCGTACGCCCGTGCCTTTGGGACAAATGGTTGACATTCATCTTGGCCTCAAGAAGCTCTTCGACATATGGTCGCCCCTCCTTTTTTATCGCTCTAATCAATGGTTCGGCCCCGAAATCCGAACGTCCAACGGGATATGACTGTTGAAAGGCTGTAAGCAGCGTTCTGAATAAAGATGTCTTATCTAGTCCGATGGCGAGGCTCAGGGCGATGGCATCAGCTGGGTCTGCGCCTTTCCGAAGTAAATGGCTTGCCATTTTCTCGTTTCCACTACTCACTGCCGTCGACAGGGGCGATATGCGGTGCACTACATTGCTGATCGAAGACTCATGGAAGTTGTACTGAGCATCAAGACTAACACCAGCTGATAACAGCAGATCGACCAACACGGCGTTTCCTGATTTGATGGCAGCGCATAGTCCCCGTTGCCCTTGCTTCGGGATACTGTAGTGGGCTTTTGCGTGAATGAGCTCCTCAATTATTTTAATGTTCCCCCATTCAATCGCACGTTCCAATGCGCAGCTGTACTTGCGAGAAGTGGAGTCATTTGTCGCACCGTCAGAGGGAAATAGGATGCCGTTGTCTAGAATCATCCGAACGAGTTCTCCATTCTTAGCTTCAAGGGCATGCTCTAGCATCGTTCCATGGGGTCTGGCGCCGTTGTCCAGCAACAGCTTCACAATCGGGATGTTCTCTTTGCGAGTCGCAGCCTCCAGCGCGTCCTGGAAATTCGGGCTTGAGTCACGGTCACGGACGACATCCATGGCAAACAACCGCTCCAGCACAGCCACATTCCCGACATCGGCGGCAGCTTCGGCTACGGACTCGAGATATCTTTCGTCCGAGACAAAGGCCCATGCCCCTTGCTCTTCCATCCATTGTAGTATAGACGGATCCTGCAGTCGGATGGCCTCCCCTAATGGTGAGAGGAATTTGGCCAGAGTGGTAAATCCAGCTGAGCGACCGGTTAGGACTGCTCTATCGGTACCCTCGCTCACACATGCTCCGTGTTGGATTAGAAGGTTGGCCATTCTACGATTCCCTCCCCTGATTGCCCGAACGAACGCACCGGGCTCTGGATCGGTGCGACTGAGAATTAGCTGGCAAAGTTCAAAATTTTGGCGATTTATTGCTTCCTTGAGTGATTTTTGAAGATAGTTCTTGATGCGTACAGGGTCTTGACAAACGCTACTGCCACATTGACAGCCGTGTCCTTTCCAGATTTGGAAAAGTTTCTGTGTCGCCTGTTGGCCTAGATCGTTGTCGAGGTCTTCAATCAAGCCCGGCAGAACTTTTAAGAGCTCGCTATGCTGATCATCCGTGATTCTTTGGAGCATCAACGCCAGAATTTGCGAGTCGCGGCACCATTCCGCTGAATGCCCAAGTAAACTTGCTTCGACTTTGGCACCAGCCTCGACAAGCATTTGGACAAGAGAGAAAGACGGTTCGATTTCGCCTTCCAAAATTACCCCTTTCACATGACTGACATCCAGTGCCCACTCCAATGCGCCATAAATGTTATCCGTCTTATTTTCAAACGTCTTATTTGGGTCTGCGCCGAGTCTCAAGAGGACTTGAAGCAGCTCAACGCTTCGAAGTTTCCCCGCACACTCTGCCAGGGAGAGAAACCTTCCATCGCACTCGCACATAAGTTCATTTGGATTGATCTTGATCCCTCTCTGCTTCATGGTTCCCGCGATCACTTGCACAGCTTCCGCGTCGGCAGCTTCCACAGATGCTTTTAGTAGATTCTCAGCGAAGGGCTTCGCAACAAGAGCCGGGGCATCCAGAAGAAGTTTATGCATCGTCGAGTACACGCGCGGTTCATTTTTGAGCAGCTTCACTACTGAGGAGGCAGGAATCTCGGAGAGCCCCGTAAATCCGTTGGCAATCGAGTATAAAATCGCACAGGGAAGACCGTTGGCACCAAAAGTTATCCCAAAAAGATCACTCTGCGATTCAATCTCTTGTACAAGCTCAACGAGGCGCTGTGAAACCAGTTCAATGCTAGGCGGTTTCAACATCAAATCCATTCTAGCTGGAGTTTCGTTCATGCGTAATATGGCCGCTGAGTAGCCCAAAAGTCTTGCAGAAAAAGTTTGGGCTATTTGTTGGATCGAGCTCGCGCCATATCTTGTCGTATTTTCAACCAGAGTCATCACGGGCATCTTTAGAAGTAATTGAAGGAACGGTGGGGGCTCCCACAATATAGATGAGGTCTCGTAATTGTCGAAAGGCGTTATTATATGGTTGTTATTAAACTGTGGCCCGATTATGTTGTCAACGGGCGCTTGGCGGGTACTGAACCATGAATCGACCATGGGAACAGGAAATGCTCCGGCTGTCTCTGAAACATTAAGGGTAGCTTGAACAAGCGTTCCGTTTTCAAATCCCATAATATTCTCCTGTGGCGGCATGTCTTGCAACATGAGTTGATCAATTAAGAGATTCACATGTGGAGCTAAGCCAATCTCTGGCATGTCTCCTGTGTGGTCTCGCGGTGGGTACTGTGACCATTCTCTATTCGCTTCGCGCGTCTCGATAGTTATATGGTGGTGGTCCGACATTGAAAGCCCTATGGTATGTTAGATCTCCACGTACAAGTGTTAGAAAGATGTTTCTTACAGTCAGTTGGTGGCGGGACGAGACTACCATCGAATATTGTCTTGACATATCGACGACCCCTCTCAAGCCTAGCCTTTTCTAGAGGCCTACCAGAGACTTTGACCCGAACATCCATCTGTTGATCCTTCAACCAATGGTATAAAGGCAGAACCAGGTTCCACTCCTCTTTGCTCAGGTTCTTGACCCATCCCCACCTCTTCAGCTGGGCTTCGTACTGGCTATGGCTAATAACGGGATATTAGCATATTTCCAAACAGCGTCTGACATACATACGTATACATGTCCTAGACTTACGTGGCATCGAAATTGTGGTCATGTTTCATCACTTGGGTCAAGTTTGGTCTGCCAATCTTGCTTTTCACAGGAAGACCCTGATCCATATGCAGGCGCTTGATAATCGGCTTGTACTCTTCCCATTGCTCCTTCGAGATCTTCTGGAAAACAGCCGGCATGGTGAGTTACGTAAAACTTGAATTGCAAGAAATCGTAATGAGAGATCGTTCGGTCGCTCGACTGTAGGTGCTGGAAATGTAAGGGAGAACAAGAGAGATGGAGAATCCGAACGGACACTTTCGGCGAGGAGAGAATTGATTCACTTTATATATTTACCTACCTACGTTGTGTCACCGACGTCTGAGCTGGGACGTCATGCCTCCACCCTCGAGCAAAAGATTAAGGTGCCAGATTTTGTCGTAACCCTCTGGACTTCCCGATTTTGTCGGCTTCCGAATTTGCTAAGTCAAGCCTTACTTGCCTGCTGTCGTATTCGTATGGTGCCTAATATGCACGCTGACAGATTTTGTCAATGTGGCTTGAGCCCAGACCATATCAGAAAACGCCTTGCCGATGCCTCACGGTCATCACTGCCCAATGGATCAGTGAGGCGGCCTTGGTCGTGAGAGAATGATCAGCAATGCCAAGCCGAAAACGCACAGCTTTGCGTCACCGTGGCCCAGCAGTTGTTCCGAGTAAATCGCCAGTCCGATCGCCTTGGGACTTCTCGGCCAACCTGGGGAACTTAGATAGTGATATTCTAAGGTCTGCACTTTCTAGAATTTCCTCTCTATTTTTTCAACGGTAGATGAGTGTCTCCATTAACCCCGTAGGTGTAGCGATGTCCGCTCCAGCGACGTATATAATTGACACAATCACTGCCCTTCGCACACCCAGGAGCCACTGTTCCAAACCGACATGTTATATGTATCTCCGACCGGCTGCACTTGTGCTAAAAGCACTAAATGCTTTTCGGCGAAATCCGGAGTTTATACGTAAGTTCGAGCAGGGTAGTAGGCGTTGATAGCTTAGGGTCAGCGTCTCCTCCTGCAACGCACCACATCAGTCGATACTAATCACTCAATAATAATCCTCCTGTCTTCGTTTAGAAATACATTTGAGTCTTCGGTAGTGAGGTACTTGCCGCATAGCTGCAGTGTTATCATTACGAAAATCTTGATGAGAGAGCACAAATCAGTGTTGTCAAGCGCTGATTATTAAACACAAAATCCAACGTCAAAGGTAAAAATTCACCTATCCTAAATCATATCCAGTAAAAAGAAAAAGACGAAGACAAAAGCTAAGATACACCAGCAGAAAGCTAGACAGCAGAGAAAGGAGAAAGGAAACCCCATTGAGTCAAACTGATTCAGGACACAAAAAAAAAGACGGAAGTAAAAGAAAATGACCCAGCACGATCACCGGCCAAGTGACACCAACATTCCCTTCCCATTGTCACGACCTCGCCCTTAGCGGACATAATTCACGCACACGCTTCATTCCTCACTGCGTCGAGTGTGCTCCATGACGACGGCCTCCCCGGCGGCGGCGAGCTCGGGTCTCGAGATCTCGCGGCGTGCGAAGATAGCCAGACTTGCGTCTGCGAACCGCAAGGTCCCGTGGCCTGTTGCTAGCCTTGTTATGAAGGTGCTTTCCGGGTAAAAATATAGGCGACCGGGTCTCAAGCTCAAGCTCGTCAATGTCACGCTTATCAATATCGCGGAAGAGGAGGCCCAAGGCCCCCTTGGCAACCTTCCCAATGCCCTTAGCGACACCCTTGGCGGTGATCTTGCGCTCCTCTAAGTCACGCTCATCAAGCTCGTCTACGTCCCGGGGGCCATGTCGACGACCAGCGCGGCGTCCGCCATGGAAGGTCTTATGCTCACGGGTCTCGAGGTCAAGATCGCGCTCTTCGACATCCCGCAGTCTGTGACCGCCGCGACTCATCCGGCCACCGAAGCTAGAGCGGTGACTTCCATGACGGAGAATAGGCTGGCGAATCTCGAGCTCCTCTTCATCGCGCTTTGGGTGACGATGGTGCTTGACCTTGGGCATTCTCTGGTTTGGGTCGAGAGCTACCTTCATGTCTCTGGGGACTTTCGGTAGCTTCTGGCCTGGAGCAAGAGCAACTTTGAGACTACCGCTGGGGAGAGGGTCTCTTTGTACAAGGTTGAGGTCTTTAGAGTTTGGGTCGATATCTAAGGCAAGTCCCTGGTTCGCAAGGCTGAGCCAGACCAGACCTGCCAGTCTGAGTTGCTTGGTGGGAATCATATTGAAAACGAAGATGATAGATGAATGATATAATGCGGAAATTTTTGATCAAGAAAGAGATTTAGAAAACTGAATTGCAGATGCGGAAAGCTGAAAGCAGTAATGGGAATCGTTGAATAAGAGGAAAGACAAAGAAAAAACTGAAGGAAACTAGAAGGCCGGCTTCTAAATGCTTTGTGTGTTTTGATGATGAGTGATGATGAGAAGGCAATGCTGTAGAGACAGAGATCTGCTCCTTATATACGTATTTCCGTACAGGATCATCGATATGGTTGAAGTTATTGAAGTTGGAAACTTTCTAAAATTAGTGGCTAGCTCAATGGTGTCAAACAGCATTCGATCTACACATCCACATGTTCTCATGCCAGTAGCAATGGTGACAACAATACAAACGAAGGATTCGTGAGCTAGGCCCACATATGATCAATTCCCAATTTTATCAAGAGAAGGTTGAGTACTATACATAGAAAAAGACATTCTGACACTGAAAAATGCCTCTCTTTCAAGCACCGGTCAAGTCAGACGGGCATCGATGTGACTTGTTGAAGAGGGATCAAGTCTATCCATCTGGTAGGATGAGGGGCTGTGGCTCAGCCTGTCGCACACGGGCACTACTGTCTGATGTCCTTGGATTTGAATCCTTTCTGGCAGCCGAGAATGAACTGCCGAAACAGGCACTCAGTCTCATGACAATCCAAATGCGGCCTCGACGAAACGCTCGGACTAATGCTTGTTCACCTACCACACCCGCAACGCAACATGACCTGTCTCAATCGAACCTAGCCACGCACGCATGATATTGGTTTACTACGATCAGTAATACAAGTCTGTTCTGGCTAGTAGGGCTGCTTTATCTAATGATACCGCGATACGTGTTGCAATGTGAGTGATCTGCGGCCTACCGCTCGGGCCCCTCCCCTGGAGAGTTTGGTTCCAGCATTTGTGCGATGATTGGCAGCCTACTGACCACAAGATAGAACAGGAATTCGTCCGTCTCTAGGAGCACTGCCTTGGCCGTTTTTAGTGATCAACTGCTCATTACTTGCTCCTCGCGCTAACGCTTTTGCACCTTTTCCTCGGTACAGCTTAAACTGACCCGAATCTACCGTGCGCTCTACCTTACGGCTAAAGCTTGGGAATGATCGTGGAACTGAATTCTGGGCTGACGAGCATGTAAATTCAAGCTAGGGCACGGGCCCCGTTACATAAGTGCGTCAACTCAATGCCTTGTCTCAAAACTCCAAAGAACTGGAGTACTTTGAGCTTCCGTTTCTGTGCATAGATTGAAACCTGAAGCCGAACGCGGCGAAACAGCTGACAACTGCAACGGCCCTCAGCCTCAGCCCCTAGGGTTTTAAGCTGGACCCTATGAAACGAGGGGAGCATCAGCATACATTCTTACTCATATTGTCATGATATGTTCCGCCTTGCGTCTGACTTTATGGTCACTTTATGAACCTCGAGATCGTTGAGATGCTATTTTTATTTGAATCAACTCAAACCGTAACGTTAGTCCGTACTCCCCCAAACTGATAGGGCCCTCTACATTGTTCCTGGTTGTTGCGCTACTCTCTGAACGACTACACTCCGCGTCAAATGCATGTTCCCTTGGAGAAGTTCAACTAATTGCCGGTTGGGAGTGTTCAAACCTGGTAACCGTTGGAGGGAGTTTATTTGATCTCAACATATTAAGTGTCTTTCATTCTGCTAATGGAGGAGTATATCAGAGCTTGGGATTAAACAATCATGCCAAGTGTAAGCAGGCATACTCTGTCGCTGGGACCAAATCTCCTCCAAAGCCTGTAGCACTCTCGGCCGATGCTGAAGAGACCGGCTAACCAAGGGAGAGCTAGATAGGACTGATCGGAACAGGTCTCTGTCCCCTTCATCCACGACAGAGCCACATATGTAGAACGGGAAGACCAGGGCAGGACGGAGCTCCGGCTTTATTCCGCGTCGGATATAGTTTGTTACTATGGCGATGGGGCCTCTGACATGCTGAAAGTCCTTGAACCCATGAAGGATCAGATGCAAATAAATCAGAGCAGTCTGCGCATACAAATAGGTGATCAGGACGACTAGGTCAGATCTAGGGCTGTCAATGTCAACCAATGGGCTCATCAGCTCCGGGGGACCTAGATTTGCAAGTCCTATTTGGATGTCGTTGTGAATGGCTTCCACAATTTTCATATATTCGTCGCACTTGTGCTCTGAGGCCTGCGTCATCTGCTTGTGGAACTCTGCGATACGACCGATCTGAATCATTACCCAGTTTTGGCAGCCCATGATGTCTTGTAGGCGGACCTGGCAAGCAGAATCATTGGAAAAGAGAGGATCTGGCCATGAAGAAGCTGCATCACCCGAGGTTACGGAGAAAATAATGTCCAGCCATACAATGGACCCAGCAATGGTTCTGAAGCCCATTACATCCTCTCTCACTTCTGGGGAGTGGTTTTGGAGCTCTTCTCGGCCCATCAAAATGAATCGCGACTGATCGGAGAGGCCAATGTTGATTAAGTCCCTTGTATAGACATGTTTGAACAACCTCACTAGAACGCGGAGGTGTGCTTGCCACCCGTTGCTGTTATGATTGGTGAAGAGCTGCAGATAATTAGCTGAAATTTCCCAAATCTCGATTGAACGTCGCGATATTGTCACCAGGAGGCCTAAGAACTTGGAGAGTAACTCACCTCAAAGAAAAGGAGCTGAGTGATAGCCGCTGCGATGCCCACGCCACTCCCATCTTTGCCACATGCGCCACTAGTAGACTCTTGAACGAGATCTAAACAGAACGCAAGGTTTTCCTCTTGGGATCTCATGTTCTCCAACTGCCACTCGCACGACCCTTGGGAGGACAAGAGCGTGGACCGATGATACGCACCCAACGCAAGAACGGCATGGTACAAAGCCTTGGTGCGAAATACCAAGGACAACAACCACCCGCGCCCCCCAGAGGCAGCATCGGGCTTATAGAGAGGTAGTTGCAACGGCAATACTGAATCAATAAAATTCATTATTAGGCCATAGTCGCCCACCTGAGGGCTGACTTTCGAGGCACAGGGGGCGCCATTATGGGCATTCTGTGGAGGTGACTATGCTTCGGATGTCAGTATATTCCATCTTAGTTACGAATGAACAGGGATAAGAAGCGTACAGTTGAGCGCTCGGGAGTTGCGAGGGTCTGAAGTGAACTCGCCACTGGCAGTGCTCCAACATTATTCGGCTTCGGGGCCAGCTGAGGCAAATGGGCGGTAGGCTCTCGGACAGGGCGCGAGGCAGTCTTGCGGCTGGACGCCTGCCCCCTGGTTGTCTCAGCCAAGTTGCTGGCCATTGCTTTCCTCTTCTCATTGCTATCCATCCATTCCGGTCTAGGCCCGAAACCGTAGCAGGTGATGGACAGAGACGCGCAGGTTTTACACTGAGGGCGGAGCTCATCACACTTTTTCTTGCGCAGTCGGCAAGTCCAGCAGCCATGTTTGCTTCGCAACGAGTTGCTCATGATATCGGACCGACCTTCAGAGCTTCCGATGAGTTTAAATTGGAAGCTGTTCCAAGCTGACCGAACCCTACTTGTGAAATGAACCAACATTGAGATGACTAATTATACAAAGTGGGGTACGTGTCTTTATAAACTAAGCCGCGCGGTCACTCTAAGACCAGCAAGTGGGTGACATTGAAATTGAGACACTCAAAACAATGAGCTGCTTATTTTCAAGCCTGCGAGCAGTGTTATCATATTATTGAATACTAATAATATATACTTAAGATAATAAAGTATATATTGCTACTCGATTTTTTTATCATCACTGAATTTCTCTATTATTTATCACGGAAAGCAGTATATTTTTAATAACTCTTCCATGAGGTGTCCCATTTCGCATAACACGCACCTGACCAATTATGCTGGTGGCCACGACTTACTTCAACTGCTGTCTTGTGATTTCTTCACTGCAGTATTCGTCAGCCACTGGACACTTAAATGCTCAAGACATGATATTTTTCGTATCAATGAAAGCTACCTACCCAAAGTTTCTTTTTATGTTGATCAATTCGGTCGCATGAGGTTGATAAATTAGGGTAGTTTAGGGTAGCCTAAGGCTTGGGAGAAGTTCAACTGCGTAGCCCAGTATCAAGATAACTCTAGAGAACCATAAAGCAAGTAGTATTAACACAGTAGCCATAGCCTAAAAGTATTCACAGCATTGAATACAGTTGTTCGGTGCCAGGGAAGCTCAATTTATAATAAGAACGTAAACTCTTTGAAACAGGCATGCGCTTTAGACCCCTGATGTAGGTCTATGTAGATACTATAATGAGACGCGCTATGCTGTCTGATATTGTCCATCTTCTTTAAGAGGGGTGCTTTTTTAAGGACGCGTTTTCTTTGGCTCGCCAGAAAGGCCTATCGTACCTCAAAAGTACAAAGATCCATTTAATGCGCTACCGTAGGAACCTGTATAGCTCTTTTACTCAATATGTACCCTATCAAGTCTTGTGATGCCTCTGAGGGTGCCAGTTGTGCCTGAGCTATCAAGGATTCTATGGAAGCGCGGACTCCGGCCCGTTGTTCGTGGGCAATTACTGTTTTGCTGAAAACATCATAGTGATGCTGCAAAACAGGGAATGTTGAGGATATCAGGGTGAGCATTCGTAGAACCCTTTGGCAGTTTTCAGCAATACGTTGCGTAGTCGGGGATTGGCCATGACGATGGGCCTGATACACCGAGATGAAAAGTAGCGCGACGCCAGACTCAAACGCCTCGATACCATCTGTCAAAGAGAGCGTGCAGCATGTGGGTGCCGCTCGTTCCTCGAGAATTGAAATATGCTGCACCAGCTGCTGATCAGCGTGCGTGACCATCATGGGCGAGAGCTGTTCCGATTCGTCAGTGGCGGCGATGCGAAGGATATGGAAAATGGCTCGGGAACAGCATCGATGGAAATGATATTGTTGGAGCCAGGTGCGTCCCTGTATCTGTGAATCGAGAAGAGGCGCTTCTCTCCAGTAGCGGTAATTGCTAAAGTGGAAAATTATGCCTTCAGAAGGGCTTCGGGATGTGCGTCGCAGAAGCTTTGCTTGATACGTGTTCCAGCATTGTAGCTTGTCTTCTTCGCATTTAACGTGAGAAGATGAAGGTGCCTATAGCGACTCATTAGGATTTATAAATTTCGAGAATCAAGCCTTGACCTACGACAGTTGAGATGCTATCTTCCTGGAAGAAGAATGGTCTCCCATGAGCCAAACTTAGAAACCTACATAAGTTAGATGGCTGCTTGGAACTAAGTGGTCGACTGAGACTTACACATCAAGAAAGTACAAAGACCAAAATGATCGACTCTTTCCCTTCTTCTCTGGGTCATCTGATCCAAAATCTGACACTCGAGTGTCGTGCATCCCACCAGACACACACCTTGTCATCGCCAAGCCCAATAGATGCCACGGCGAACCAACCAGGGGGTTATATAGGGAGAAGATGGCCATCGCAGTCAGACACTGCGTAATTTGGAGATCGTTACATTGGGCGAAAAGTCGCTGAGAAGAGTCGTGGGCTGATAGTGCAAGTGCCATGGCATAACTCTCTAAGTGCCGCCGGTCCTTTGACATGAGGACACCACTTGCTATCGACATGCTGATAAGAACAACTATATCCGGTCGTTCTCTTGCCAAAGATTCGATCTCGCCATTCTCCTGGGCTTCAGTGAAAGACGTGTGCTGAGCGACAAGATCTATCGTGCAGATGAATGGCAGAGAATGGCTGACGAAGTCTAAAAATTCCTGAAAAGCCCGCTTTGTGTCAAAGGTAGCCATCTCTCTATTTTGAAGCAGCGAGACCCAAGGAATCCCGTTAAGAGGCCTTAGTAAAGAGCGACTTGAGTTGCTCAGAGCAGCCCCGGTCGCAGAGTTCATGAGGGTGAAGAACGAAAAGGTTGAGCCTGAGAGAGGCTTTTCCCGAGAGAGTTCCGCCATTGCACTGAGAGACAAATATCCAGTCTCGGCGCCAGGGCTATCAGTGGGTGTAATTCCCTGCGTCGTGCTAAGAGCTTCACTCTCATTTTGTCCTCTACGAGAGCTGGCAACGCTCGGTGCTAAGTCTGGTGAAGTATAGGACTGCGATCTTTCGGTGCGATGGTTTGATATGACTTCTGGAGACTCGGTGGATTCGCGAAACAGCTCCTGTTCCATGTCTTCCACTTTTCGAGTGAGTGAATCAACATAGACAGAGAGGGTGATTTGATTCTGCGGCCTGGCAGTGCAATATTTTCCATCTTGTCAGTTGACATTAATCTTCAGTATGTTATTCAAATGTTTGAAAGTTCTCACTCCTCATGTTGGCGCCCATGCTCGGCAGATTCAATGACAACAGTTCCCATTTCCCGCCATATACACTGACTTCTTGAAGCTTGACATTTGACGCATCGAGGCTTGTTCCTGTCGCACTAGTGGGTGAGAGAACATGGGTTAGTGAGCCTGAAATCGATGAAAAAAGCGTCTTTGACAAACCTTTTGCTTTCGCCTCCAGCAACGTGAACAGGCATGGGGCATCAAGTTGCTCATTGCTCGATGCTGGTGGTGAGCCGGATTGGCTCGGCTCTTGTAAGTTAGGGAGGTTTTAGCGATATACTTCAAGCCTGTTTTGTATTATACGGGCGCAAATTTGGGGGGTTGTATTATTGTGACGATTCGTCATTGCTCAAGGTCACCAATTGAAGCAGAATTAAAGGAAGATTTAAATTCCCTCTTAGGTAAGAAGGGTCTATGAATAAATTAATTATATTATAAGTATGGGCTTTATCTTCAAATGAACTATATCAACTAGTTTTGCGTGATGGTGCTTGTAAATGACGTGACGCTGCTTGGCTTTTGGTGGGAGGGGCGGAGAAGACGCTACAGATCTGCAGCCATGATGAGATTTACAGGGGCAACCAGGAACAGCACGAAACTACGTTAATATATGCCTGCTATACGCCGTTACGTAGAGGTGTAGATGTATAGTTGTTGATCGAAGTAATCTGCTGGGTTATTGCCCGAAGAATACATGATAATCAGGATCAAAAAGCAGTCACAAATGTACAAGCACCATATTAAATAAATGGGATCTGATCTATATCAATGTCGCCCCAAGAAAACTCCCCATAGCTAGGTTCGAGACTTCTCATCAGCAGATCGTCATCCATCTCCCAATCGGCTAGAGTTAGCCGCGGCTGGATAGAGGCATCGTGCTGCAGCATGAGGTTTGACGCCCCGACGGGAGGAGCGTTGTGTAATGACGAGAATGAACCATCTCCATTATCAGCATCAAGAGCCATCATTCCCCATACTCCTAGATCCCTTTGGATTTGAGTTTCGGCCGTGGTCACGTTGGCTTCTGCGGGCAGTCCGTCACTTTGCGACAATTCCACGGGGTGCTCTTGGGCTCTGATCCTCTCCTCATCGGCGTTGTCACCTTCCGATGGTGGATGGTTGGCGGGGATAGAAAAGTTGACAAGCTTCTTTCGCAGCTCCTCGAAAACAACTACAAACTTTCCAGCATCAGGCATCTCGGTCTTGAGCTTTTGTAAAATGGCACTGCATGCATCGAGAGTTTTGGCCACTTCCTTGTCTTGGCGCCCACCCAGTGATACGCAGTATAGTATAGAGAGTCCCGCCGTGAAGATAAGGTAGAAAGAACCTCTTGTCCAGGTGATCAAGCTTCTATCAAGTAGAACGGTGTACTGCTCAACGACCCTTTCTGCACAGCCACGGTAGAAAGTGAGAATGTCCGGGGGAGGGCGGCCACCCTGCTTTGGTGCTTTACGTATGGCTCCTCGTGCTAGAAACAGTCTCTCCTGCTCTAATAACATGTCGTACCACTCGGGCCGTTCGAATACGCAACTCGGTGACGTAAAAGTCGGTGCCGAGTCCCTCCACTCCTTCAGCCTTGTAGAATATAAGGCGAAGTCACGGTAGACTTTACCAGGTGCGTCAAGTTGCACATTCTGATCTATGTGTGGCGTGTTTAGACTCGGATCGAATGTCTTATTTATCCGTGAGGAAAGCAAGCGAAGCTTGGTGTAGTGAATGAAAACGGATAGTTCGGTTGGGTGACATTGACTTTCAACACGGACGTCTAGGAGTGATAGCTCGGATGTTGTGATTGGTATATCCTCCTCGTTGGTGTCAAATGGTAGTTCCACTGTGATATCATCGTCTGATATGGCAAATGGCCGGCCTAGAACGCGGGAGCTATATCGGTCAAGAATGTATGAGGCCCAAAATATGCAACGCCAATGTTGTTCAGTAAGCGGCGTGGTTTTGCTTCTCCGAGTAGCCTGGAGGCCATATCCAATGCATTGTCTCATACAGACTTGTGAAATCTCCCAAATTGAGGTACCTAAAAAGGAAGTTAAAGCAACGATTGACGAAGAAAATTCAGATATGCTCCTACCGATATGGTAATACATGCCAAATCTCGCCAAGAGCAAAAGATTCTGGATGGCGTCGATGCTCCCTGTAAGCTGGATGGCTCCAAAATATCGCCGAGCCGCGAGGAAATAGCCGTAAGGATGTTCTTTACTACTTCCTCGACGGTAGGGAGTGATAGAACCTATTGCGAAAACCATGAAAAGGCGAAAGAAGTCTTGCGCGCTACATGCCTCGTTGGAGGCAGGAGTCGGGTTATACGCTCGACGAAGGATATCAAGTACTTGCTGTGTTAGAAGAACTGGATGTGTTTTATGAAAGCGTTGTAGACTGCTCTAGTTAGGACGAAGACAATGAACTGTGGGAAGAAGGAACTGACTAGATGTCTGTTAGTTCAGATGCCTCTCTGAGATGAGGCTGAGCATGTTCGTGGATATTTAGTTCAGGTAAGAGCGGGCGAGTTGCAAGTTGCTCGAAGACGGGGGAGTTGTGCGTTTGCCAGCTGGCGTCAAAGAAGATGTATTGCAGGAAACTGGATGTAGTCAGTGCCAAATCAACAATGAACCAAAGCGACATTCACATGGAACCTACTTTAACCCATCGTTGTCCCCAAGGAAGCCACCCCTCTCCTCTTTCAACACGTGGGAAGGGAAAGTGCTGTGTGGTTGGCTGTGGGGTCTGCCGTCATCTAGGACAGAATCTATGGTTCTCGACTTATCTCGGAGCAACGAGCGACGACGGGATTCAAGCTCACCAAGGCGGTTTTCGAGGTGTTTGATATCCTCTCGGCGGATTTCTCGTAACGTAATAGGGTCAACAACGATACATTCCGCATCTGCCTTGGTACAGTTTGAGCATCTTGATCCGCCACGATCCGCGCATCTAACCTTGCGAGCCCGACAACGTTGGCACGTCGGGATCAACAGGGTCTTTGATGTTGCTTGCATCATTGCTGCCAAGCATGTAGAAATTGATGCTTATCAATCAGATCTCTTTTGGAGATGCTTTTGAGACAAACCCTGATGCCTAACTACCCCTTTCAGACTTGCTCAACACCTTGGTTTGTAACCAGAAATTCACACCGGCCGATTGGAGTCAGTGTTCTCTTTGTGGGGCCGCGAATTCGTTCGTCTCTGGGATCACGCAATTTCTGTCGGAGATGAGCACTCGTTGATGGTCTTCGCCATCTCGGTAGTATCCCCACATGTCCGACCTTTAATCACGCTTGTTGACGTCCCATCTTCGGTGCAATCTGAGAGGGGCCGATGGGTTGCGATTGGGTATTGTCACTCGGATGTCGATCGACGGACGTGTGTGTCCAAGATCTAGGTGCTTGTAGGTATAATTTCTCTCACCTTACTCAATGCAACACGGTCTGCCCTCATGGCCTGAACACTTCGCAATTGCTTTTTCTCTGCTTCCTTTTTTGTAACGCTTCAGCATCCAAGACTGTCTATATTAATAGAGCTGCCTTCCTGCTGTGTGATTACCATAGAAATTGCTGGGCTATATACCAGCAAGACAACGCAGTACAACATCAGCCGATCTTATCCAATAACCGAAACCATCAATAGGAGTAACAATGGCTACCCAAACTATCACTGAGACTGTCGCTAAAACAAGCTCCGTGCCCATTAGCATTGAGACTTCTGTCAATCATGACAAACATCAGTATCAGTATGCTGGCTATCTGCCGGTCTACGACGCCCGCCAAATTCCTCCTCTAGAAGAGTTTGCGTATGAAGACCCTGGGTTGCGCGCCGATCCCAGCAAGGCTGCCCTCCTTGGCGCTCCAGGTGCGAAATTCGAGGAACTGACGCCTGCCATCGGCACCGAAGTGCGCGGGCTCCAACTTAGCTCCCTTGACTCGAAGCAAAGGGATGAACTCGCTCTTCTCACTGCGGAGAGAGGTGTTTTAGTCTTCCACGATCAGGACTTCAAGGACATTGGCTATGAAAAACAAGAACAGTTTGGCGCACACTTTGGGAAGCTGCACATCCACCAGCGTGGCAGTCAGGTTGCAGGCCATCCCTACTTATTACCGGTGTACCGAGACTTCAAGTAAGATACTTATAAGCCCTTTAATCAATCAGTTCTATCTATCCCCATGCTGACAACTGGCTGCTGCCAAAGGGCTGGTGCATCCGACCAAGAGACTGATAACCACGTCAGTAGCGTCAAATGGCACTCAGATATGTCATACGAGATGTGAGTTGTTCTCCCAACAATAGAGGAGAAAGAGTTAACAAAAGTCATAATAGAAATGGTGCCGGTATCACCACCTTTCTTGTTCTTGACACGCCGGGTGTCGGTGGTGATACACTCTACTTATCCACCGTGGCCGCCTACGAGAAGCTCTCCCCGCTCTTCCGTGAGAAGCTTGAAGGACTGACTGCCATCCACTCTGGAAAGGAGCAGTATGCGGGCGGCCAGTACGCTGAGCGGTACAACCGGCCGCCGATTGAAACCTCGCATCCAGTTGTCCGCACGCATCCAGTCACCAAGTCCAAGTCCTTGTATGTCAACAGTCTTTGGACCAAGCGTATCGAGGGTTTGAAACAGGAGGAGAGTGGTCAGTGCTCCCCCACACCATTTTGCCTTTGCGGTCTAACACCAATGGTTCAGATTTCCTGCTCAAATTCCTCACGCAGCACATTGAGCATGGCCAAGATTTCCACATTCGCGTCAAATGGACCCCCGGCACCGTCGTCATATACGACAATCGTATCACTCAACAGTACGTCCAGCCCATCCCATATGATATTGAATTAAAAGACAGAACTAACTCATATCCTCAACGCAGCTCTGCACTTCGTGATTTCAAGGTCGAAGAGGGAACTACTCGACGTCACATGCTCCGTATCACGCCCCAGGCTGAACGACCTTATTTCGATCCCAATGTCTAGTGGGACTCTTTTGTGGCCTTAGTGTAGAGTAGCGATTTACAGGTCTTTAAACGTTTCTTCATTCTCCCAAACTGCGTTGATATCCAACGATTCTCACTTCGTCTTGGTCATTGTCCTACCAAAAGCTCATGCTTCCAATTCATGTTACGCAATTGGCAAGATTGGCTTTTCAGTCTCGTATTACGCTGGCATCTCATATCGACATAATATTGCACAGAGCTTTGCCAGAAGATCTGTATCCTTGATGAATATACAAAAAGCCTGCAAAGGGTGGGTAGTAAGTATATCCCTGAGTACGTGTGTGAGAATTCTAGTATGCAGCATAACACAGAAACGGAGGATGCCAGACATCTCAACGAAATGAATACAAATATTCCTGAGTACATAACCTCTTTGATGCTAAGCGAAGAAAAAGGGCACTAATCAGACAGACTATTGACGGTCGGAAATTAAAAAACTTATGTTGTATCTACGAATCCCCTGATCATACCAAGCACGATGTGAGTCTTCTCAACATGCACCGCATGATTAGCCCCTGGCACAACCACTAGCTGTGAACCTTGAATTCCCCTATGGATGATTTCGGAATTTTCTATGTCGTTGTTAGCGTGACTTCAAAAATGAGCTGGTTCGCAGCACAAACCTGGTGGGCAGATCCAGTCATTCTCGCCCACTACAACCAAAGTCTTGGCTGTTATGTTGCCAAGTCTGTCCGTGTAATCAAAGTACTTTTCTCTTGGTGAATAGAGCTCATCTGCATGCCATCAGTCAATCGATCTTTCGGTATGGGTGATGTTGTAGAATAGTCCATCGCAGCTTACTGTGAGATTCAGCCACGAACACTGTGTTGCGGCAAGCAACAAGAGCCGCGTTGGCATCAAAATTTTCTTTATGTAGGGGCATCACGGCGAAGTGTATGAGCTTGAATTCCTCGTCATCTTCGTAAGCACCGAACACCTTGTCCCTGAGCATCTCCTTTGAGAAGCTGGGGGTTTTGCTGATCCTTGCTTCTAGGCCCCTGAGAGCGCTCTCCTCATCTACTCTAATAGTCAGGTCCCAATAGATCAATTGATAATCGAGTTCACCTACGATGATGGGAGGCAGCGGTGCCTCGAAGAATCAAGTGTGAGACATGAGCTGCATATTTGATGGCGTAGTGCAAGGCGATGAATCCACCAAAGCTCCCGCCACAAATAGTGACCTGCTTTGCGCCTGCAAAGTGCTGCCTCATACCCTCAACATCGTTGACAATTTGTTCAAATGTGTAAGGCTTCGTACGTGAGCTTTGCCCATGGCCGCGATAGTCAAAAGACAGTACACGCAAGCGGTCGTTTAGCTGGCTATAGACTCGATAATCTGACCTATGGTCACCTTTTACATGCAAAGTCAGCAAAACTGTAAATGATGCAATATTTTCATTGTTCAAGCGAGCGAGTCTTACCGACTCCTCGACCCCCATGAAGCGTTATCATCAGGGGGCCAGTCTCGGGCCCGCTGATCTCGTAAGCGAGCCTCGCGCCATTGATCTCTGTAAACTCAAGCATCGCGTATCTACTGATGACCCTGTTCGATTACTACCAGGAAATTAGTCCTGCCACCCTGGCCCTTTAAATCTCCATGGGATTCGATGTGAGTTCTCAAGAAACCACCCCCGATAATGGACAGGATTAGTTATCCTTGTGCCCCTGGCCAGGGAGCAATAAAATATGCCCAATCGGCGCTGTCGGTCCACCCTGAAGATTCATCGGCCCCTCACCGAAGATCCGGGATTAAGATGGAAACGTTAGCTTGGATGCTGTCAAATGCGTGCTCGGGCACACCATCGAGGCAAACCTCAACACCGACCGTTATCGTAGTAGTATGCCATTCAGCTGTCCAGCATCGGGAATATAAAGGATATTTAGGATCTTGACTAAATGCCATCATTGCATCCACTACTCCCAAACTCGCCAATCCATCCATCTTGCCACGCCGTCATGGCCACTGTTAATCCCACCACTGCTGATATCCAGCACGATATCACCAACATCGGCAAGGACGACTCTGCAAAAAACTCCACTACGAGTAAAACGAATGATTTAGAGTCTCTTTCATCGGAGCGTCGTCCTGTGGCAAAATGGTACCACTGGCACGAACCAGGGACGTCTCCCCAGGAGAAGAGACTTATCCTGAAAATAGATTTCTTTCTACTCAGTATCTCATGTCTAATCTTCTTCATCAAACAAGTCAGTTTGCGTTCCCCATATCCATGCCAAATCGCTTACACAGACTTGCAGGTGGACGGAAATAATGTCAACAATGCTTACGTCTCCGGCATGTCTGAGGAACTGAACATGGGCCCGGGTGACGAGCTCTCCTGGATGAATACCTATTTTTCGATCGGTAGGTACCAATGTCATATATGCACATCGCAATAACTCATCCGGGATAATAGGAACTATTGTTGGGGGAACCTTTGCCAATATGGTAATCACCATCATCAAGCCCAGGTACTGGCTATCCCTATGCCTAATGATTTGGTCCGTGTTCGTCCTTGCAATGTACAAGTGCAATACTGCCCCGCAAATGTATGTCCTTCGGTTCTTCATTGGACTTTTCGAGTCTGCTGTCTGGCCGGGCGTCATGTGGTGTCTCGGATCCTGGTATCGAAAAAGCGAGCTCGCGCGACGGAGTGGCCTCTTCGTCATGAGCGGTGTTGTCGGAGGCATGTTTTCTGGCTATCTGCAAGCCGCGTTGTATACCGGCATGAACGGGAAGCAAGGTCTATCAGCTTGGAGATGGTTGTTTATCTTCGACTTTATATTAGCCATTCCCGTGGCCTTTTATGCATTTGTGAGTTTACGTCCTCTCTTTCTTTTATATTGATGATCTGACTCGATTCGGTAGTTCTGTCATCCCGACACTCCAGATAAAACAGAGGCTTGGTATTTCACTGAATGGGAAAAGAAACGAGCCCTAGAGAGAATGGAAGAGGACGGGCGCAAGCCGACAGGCAAACTCGACTGGACAGTTCTTCGTCGTACATTCGGCACCTGGCAGGTGTATGCCTTTACTCTGGGATACTCGTTCTGGTGCCTGACCTGTGGAAGGTAGGATCATACAACCAAACGCAACACAGTGTTGTGTTTTCCCAGTCTTCTCTTCTTCCATTAACTAACGATCATGCAGCTTCGTGCTACAGTATTTTTCTCTCTATCTCAAGGCTACGGGCAGGTTTTCGGTTCCACAGATCAACAACATTCCAACAGCGCTTGGAGCCGTCAACTTCGTCACAATGATTTCTACCGGTTATATTGCAGATAAAATCGGAACTCGTTGGCCGGTATGCCTTACCATCGGCTTGATCATGACATTCAACTACGCTGTGCTGACAGTGTGGAACGTTCCACACACCCTCCGCATGGTTGTTTTCATCCTCCATGGTGTCTACGGATGCTTCACCCCTCTTCTGGCCGGGTGGACGAACGAATGTTGCGGCGGCGATCAGCAAAAGCGTGCTCTGGTTCTCGGATTTATGGTGTCCGTGGGCCAAGCCGTCGTTATCCCATTTCAACAAATTCAAATGCCCTCTGGCTCCGCACCGGAATTCAAGAAGACGCATGGATGGGGAAGCTCTCTGGCTTGGGTTGTCATTCTTACCGTGTGGACCGGATTTTGTATCCCACTACTGCAGAGGCGGTACGGAAAGGAGAAGGCCGGCTCTATTTCTGAATCCGCAGACGAAACCGGCGAGCCATAGAGACGATAAGAAGCAGGTTGGCTTTTTGCAATCGAAATAGGAGTTAGAATAGGCAGAAGTTGACAAGCGGCACAATCGCCCATCTCTTGCAGATATTGGTAGCCGAGGATTGAACCTACTGAAAAGTTGTCGTGTTTGCTTATAGATAATGAAAAAGGAAGCTTTACAATCATCTCATAACGTAAACTAATCAACAGAAGATCTTTTATTAGCCGAATTGCCAAATATCGTAGGACTAAACTATAACACATGCTAGGGAATGGAAATGCGGCATAGTCTATCCATCTAGATGATTAGGCAAAGACCTAATTAAGCTTGAACGTATTGTTCAACTGTACACGGCTTTCTCATAATCGTATATACAATGCACAAGGAGAAGGTCTTTGGCAGAGAGCTTTTGATCAGAGCTTTTGATCATTGATGCCGATCAGGAAGTTTATGAGCTGGAATACGGACAACTGTTTATGGGTGCCTACGTAGCGATGCTTATCGCCATCACGATGAGTCTGCTAGTTCTATGCAGAATAAGACATCCACCCATCGCGGCCCTGAGCCCACCTCGCGTCGGCGGGCTGAGTTTATTGATAACTTTAACAGGTCCTTTGCAAAACTCATAGGCAGTTTCCTCGTGTTCGTCTTCTTTGCTCAAACTTCAAACATGACGATCTCGGCTCGGTAGTCTGTTTGCTGATGCATCGGTTAGTATCTCTCGGCCCCGCCCCGATAGTATGTGGACAGCAGTTCTTGAGTTAAGATGAAAGCTACGGAATGGGTTCGGACTGGTCAGCATATTCTCGGGATGGCCGCATTCTCTAAAATGCCGCCAATTCACTTGCTGATGGCGTGCTGAAGACGAGATCGGTCACTGCCGAAGCTACTCGTCCCGAAAGCACCACTGTGCCCATACGTGCTACGCTAATAGCCTGATCAGAGATATAATACTCTGGAAATGTTGTCAATAATGCAGGCAATACTGTAAGCAGTCACTTCGAGAAACCCTACCTCGATAGAAGCAACAATGGTCTCACACAATCTACAGTTGTACACTACCTTGGGAGAAACCCGATATCTTGTTGAGTCTCCCTGGGGTGACTTCAAGCCAGGCCCTTATATTGTGACGGACGTTGCCGTCAGCAAAAAAGGCCATGTCCTGGTGTTGGTACGACGCGTCCCATTCAAGGGGCAATCCGGGCCTGCAGTCATAGAATTGGACCCTGACGGACGTTTTGTGAGGGAATGGGCCGACGAGTGCGTTGATGCTCATTATATCACGGTAGCGGAGGACGGTAGAATTCTCATCGTCGACCGAGATTCTCATGTTGTCCTTGTCTTCTCAGAAGCTGGCGAACTTCAGCTGGAACTAGGCGCACGCGGACATGGGGGAAAACCTCTTAACCACCCCTGTGATGTGGCCATTGATTCCGAAGGCAACTTCTTTGTCGCCGATGGCTACGGCGCTGCAAAGATTCATCAGTTCTCGCCCGACGGACAGCTTGTTCGCAGCTGGGGCGAACGTGGCCGGGCGCCTGGTCAGCTGCTCACTCCCCACGGCATCCTCGTTCTCCCAGCCCGAGGCCACGGCGCCGAGCGGCTGCTAGTCACTGATCGGGACGCCAATCGCCTGCGTGTGTTTACCAAGGATGGAAAGCTGGTACGGGAACTCGACGACTTCCACCTTCCCATGTCGGCAGAGTTCACATCCGACGGGAATATCCTCGTCAACGATCAGACGCCGCGCACCTCGCTCTTGGGTCCTGATCTGTCATTTCTCGGCAGTGCGCGAACCATGATTACGATTTCTCACGGGTTTCAGCCGGCGCCCGATGGTTCCATCTTCGAGATTCATATGGCCACCAACTCATTGACAAAACTGATCCCAGTCAGTGATAAATAGCGCGCATCAACAACGACAGACCACGCGAAAGGAAAGTCTGCTAAGAAAAAGACGAAATTTTACCTTAGTATATAATTGTTGCGCGTGTAAAATATACCGATATTGAGATGCCACCCTGTGCCCCTGTTTCTCTACTTTATGCCCCTTAACCCCCCGACGTAAGCATCTCAATAAGACAAGCAGGTTGCTTGGCTGCATGATACACGCCCATTATTGGCCATCAACCGAACTAGAATGTGACGCTGAGCTGATAAGGCAGAACTCATGTCCCTGCTGACCTTGACGCTGCCTGATCCTGTATTGAATATATCAGGCAGCCTACATTACCCCGCGACCTCAGTCTCTCATCACTTCTCGTAAACGGCCTCCCCAACCAATCACAATGATGTTCAATTCAAACCTGATAGCTTTTCTACCAGAGAGAGCTAAAGCACTGGCCATTCATTGGAAGTCTACTACTACCGCCGTTGTCTTTGTAAAAGTTCCTACTCGGCTGTGACGACGTAAATACCCTCTAAAAGGCTAAGTATACAGAAATAAGCGAAGGCTGTCACTACAGTGAGTTACCCGCTTGAATATAAGGAAACAGTTGTTCAAGGGCAAGAGTGTTTATTTATTATTCTAAATGCAGCTATGGCTATCATCATCTCGAGGAAAACCTATGATCGTATGGTAGATTGATTGTTGGTAGAAAGAGAGGCCTATCAATAGCAGTGTCCCGCGTCTTTCAATCTGAATGGGGATTGTTGATTTCGGCAATTTCCAGGTTACCATCTCGAGAGCATAACATGAGCTATCTCACTCATCGTCTTCGTCGTCGTTGTCGTTGTCAGCATCGGAACCTTCTCCCTCGGAGCCAGCCTCGTCTTCGTCGTCTTCGTCGAGCGGAATATCGATCCCCGGGGCCCGATAGACACCTTGGTTTACCGTTGCACTACCAACGTCTCCTCCCCGGATCTGTAGCCATTGATCCCTGAAGTCCCCCGCAAAGATACGGGAACAAATATTGCTTGCATCACACTCTTCGGTGTGTACGCTTTGGCCTACATCGTAAATGCGGTTGTGCCGTGATTGGAAAACGACGTCAAGGGTGACATCTGGCGAGTCGCAGGATAGCTGGACCTCTGCCGGGTCAATCTTTTCGGCATTGAAGAGAAATCGTACACGCCGAAGGTTCTTGAACCGGCTGCCACTCTCAATCACACCGAGCAGTTCGCCGGCCTGATCCAGTATTGCCTTGCCACATCCATGGATCTCAAGATGCTCGAGATTATCAGGGAGACATTCTACGAGTCTCGGTGCTCCTTCGACTTCCAGAGGCGGGCTGTCACCCCATATATCGTCAGGCAGCCCATCCAGGAAACCTGTGAGAGACTGCATTCCGGCAACAAGTCTCTTGAGTGCAACCATGCGGCGCAAGTCAGTGCCCATATATATCCTGTCGTTGGGGCCTGCCCACGCCTTATCCTGGTCATCTTCCAAGTTGATATGAATATTCTCGAAGGTGTTTGCGTGCGGCAAAATGGCATCCATTATGTCTCGGGGCATCATCCGATCGTCCGTGACATGTGAGACGGCCGGAGTGAACTCGAATGACCTGAGAGCCTTACAAGCACCAAACACGTTATTGATAAATAACGGGGTACAGAATGATTTGTATAGCGTTATCTCTTCCACTGAGGATGATCTCCGGGGTATATCGCCAAATGCACCACCAGCTTCATCGCTTCCGTTGGCTAGGACGCATTCATAAGATCGGAGAGAGGGTATACGGAACAGAGGAATGGCATGTTCGTAAACCAACAGATAGCCATAAGAATCATCTTCAGATTCGTGGTATGCCTGGCGCAGGTTCGATAATGGCCTGGTCTGACCATGTTGAGTCTTACCAGCCAGTTTCAACACCCGCACAAAGTTCTTCGGGCTCTCTGGCTCCGAAAAGTACAGTCGCTCAATGTTTGGGCAGGCGAGGAGAATCAAGGCGACCTGGGCATCAGTATTATTCTCCTGTAGACCGCGAAACCATTGTGCTCTCCCTTCTTCGTAATCGTCGTCCGTTTCTGGTGTGAGAGCTTCATCAATTCTTTGCTTGAATAAAGCCAGCTCAGCTTCTGTCAGACATTCTTTGTCGCTCTTCGAAATTTCTTCCCCGTCATCACTCTCTTCGCCGTCTCTTTCAGCGCCTTGTCCATCGTTTTGGTCACCGCTCTCACTTGCTGGGCCACTGGCCACGTCATCTTGATCGCTCTCGTCCTCATGGCCAATCTCGTCTTGACTACCCGCATCCCCTCCCTCCTCCTCCTCCTCCCCCTCCTCCTCCTCCTGCTGCTGCTCTTCTTCTTCTTCTTTTTCCTCATCATCACCTGGTGATTCGAATCCGCCCAAAATTATAGTTTTGACATTTTTGGCAAGTTCGGGTTTGGTCATCAAGACATAGCGCAAGAACTGGATGTTACGACTACTGGAGACTTGACCAGAGGAGTCAGGGTCAAACGGTGTCGACGTGTTCCTGAAGATTTGCACTGAGAATGGTAGAGCGACATCCCGAAGCCGTTTGCAGGTTTTCAGCACCGCATGGATGTGCGACGGTCCGTCATTAGTGACCAGGTGGGAGAATATCCGGCATTGAATCTCAGGTGGCAGGTTTTGGAGAGACATGGTGAGGGCTTCGAGCACGTATACTCCTGTTCAACGATCTGACTGCTTATGCTACCAATGAGATGATCCGTGGCTGAGTCTTCCTTGGGAGATTGAGAAACAGAAGCCGAGTCTTTTATTACTCTTGTGTATTGTCGCGAATTGATTGAAGTGGGGAGACTTAGAAAATGCCAGATTCTATTATTGGGCCGACTCCCTGGTCTATACGCTCGTCTGACAATATACGCGATGCATTAACCTAGAACAAGGCTAGTAAACTATTAGGGAATGCGATCTTCCATACAGTTCTTGGCAGAGGAACACGGAGCAACACCGGCGGTGTGAATTTCTTACAACCGATTCCCAACCACTTCACGGTGATCGTGATATGCGCAAAGTTAGCTAAAACAGACGTGTTTTAATTCAGTTGCTGGGACAAACATGGACGGAAAAAAACAAATAAACGTACCATCAATCCTGCAAAAAGTGATTTGACCATTGAATGGTTCACCTACCTGGGAGCATATACTCCAGAAGTCACAACCAGAACAGCACGCATCAATACTGTATTTGCTTAGACAGTCCACCTTGGGACAATTCTCATCACATCTTCAAGTTGAGGCGAGCTTAGAGGTATGTCTGAAGATGTAGAACTAGTTATATTATTATTCTATAAGTTTTATTGTCTATGTATAGTGACCGTTAGGCCATAATGTGTTCATCGATAATACGGAAAAGGCATATCTTGCGCTTCAAGGATCTTCAAGCCTTCTTCCAGTCACGCTTTCGCTTAGTCGTTGGTTCATCAACGGCCGGACTTGACGCCAGTCTCGTGTTTAGCCCGCAGCAGCAATAGCCAATTGATGAATGCCAAAAACGAGATGCCCCAAAACGGAACACCAACGCAGTTGTTTCTCAGACCTGCTGCAAGAGCGGCGCCGCTGATGACTGGGCCGAGCATCCGGGCCACGCTTGCGATACTCGATGCCAGCCCGTGAACGGTACCCAGAAGCGAAGAATGCGGCGCCGAATCGTTGACGAGAATAATCGTCCCTGGTCCTATGAATGATCGCGATAAGATATGAAAGGCCATGGTCACGATGAGAAACGGCCAGGTGAGCGCTGATCCCTCGGGTAGAAGCACCAGGAAAGGGATGACAGTATAGGCGACGATACTGAAGGGCAATGCGAATCGATAGCATGGCAGAACGCCAAACCGGGCGCTTATGATGGGGTATACAAGAATCTGGAATGCTATTGCGACAAGCCCGATGCAACTATTCGCAAAACCAATCTCCTGCGTCGAGAGGCCCAAGCCTCCGTTGAAAAAGAAGGGTAGGCTGGCGTTAGAATTGTCGGAGTGAGTCGCTGGAAATATGATAAAAACCCCAGCATTGAAGGCAGAATTGTGCATGGCCTGCAGAAAATGCTGCGCCAGGATGAGGATGACGGATTTCTTTAGAAGAGACTTTAGACTGGCGGATCCCTCATTTGACTCGTCTGCTTCGTGGCGATGAGGGATCAAAGGGGTTGTCTCAGTCTCCAGGTCCGGGGATGTTGTTACAGCTTCATAGGCATAAGTTGCACCTTTTTGTTTCTTGAAGAACTTGCAGGCAACGATGCCTGTCAGATTCCTGGCGTAGTCTCGTTTGTGCTTCAGGGCTGGATGAGTTTCATCCAAGCCAAACACAACAACCGAAAGAGAAAAGAGTAAAATGGACGCGCAGACGATATTAGGCAAGGCATAGGGGTAGCTTCTCATCCACTCGACACCATTCTTGCCTCCAAGCAAGGAGTCGGGTCCGAAGAGCCAGGGAACCGAGTTGATGGGATCGGCGAGAAAACCTCCCATGATTGGGCCAATAATAACACCAACGCTGAAGCATATCGGAAGTAGGAGAAAGGCACGAGATTGGTATCTACGAAATTAACTTTCCAAACATCGGAAATATAAAGGTGGCAACAAAGGAGAAAGTTAGGACTTACCTCTTGTCTACTACCACTTCCGACACCATGGTTCTTAACACACCGATATTGCCATTAAGAGCCCCAGCAAGAAGCCGAAAACCGATTGCAGACTTGTACGACGTCGAAAATCCGATGCCAAGCACAGATATGCAGGTACCAAGAAGACCGATAATCAAGACCTGCTTTCTACCGATACGATGATGATCTGCCGCATAACCCCATGCCATAGAAGTCAGACACTGGGCAGCTGCGAATGCCGAAGTAAGGATACCAGCCTGCCGGGCGATGGTGGAATCTGGCAGTGAAGAGTCGAACCAGCGAAGTTGATAGAACAGATAGGCGGTAAGAGATCGCTCGCTGAGAGGCTCCGCCAGTCGCGCGAAGATAATGACGCAAAGCTGCGACTTGTTGGGCATGGACATCCACGAGACTGGGACTTCTGGTTCCTCGGGAGCATCGTCTGTGTCACTGGCCGATGACAGGGCGGGCGATGGGCCGATCAACGGGCTCTGGCCATCACTTGGGGATGAGGAACGTGACGAGTGTGAGCTCGGCATCCGATCGCTCACGTGAGTGTCTTTCAAGGACACCATGATCCATGGCTCGTATGCACTGCACTGAGCGAGAGCAAGTCAAGGCGGACTCAGACGTCAGATCCCGAAGATTGCGGCCTGCGACGAGGTTTGCGGACGGAACTGGGGACTTGGCATGCGGTGCGCTCTAAACTGACTCCGAGGCAGATTTGCAGCCAGATCGATGATGACTACGGTGACGACGCATGGCGCCATCGCAGTCGGCGATCACATCTTTCCCCTGAGCCCGATGACCCCACAGCAAGGATTAATAATGCAGATATCGGAAGGTATCCCCGAAGAACGTGCTTAATGCTACCAGAAACTGTTATTCCCGGAGGTGAGTAGTCAAGAGAGAGGCAATCTTGAGAGAGGTTATGTTATATTCAACCCAAGCTATCAATACTGCTAATTGCCAGCGAGAAAAATCTTCATAGAGATTAAACAGGTAGGGAGGTTCGTGTTGGTAAAAAGCGTAAGAAAATGGTCAGTTACATCGATCAGACCCATCATCAGCGAGCTAAAGCCACAAATGCGAGCAACTTGACGCCACAACTGTTCGTCACAGAGTTCAAAAATCTGGCATTTTGGAGGGAAATAAATCTTGAAGTCTCCAGTGAAACCTCTAGAAATAACTGAGCTTGACCAGTCCCAATCGCGTCACAAGGCTTCTCCTGTTCATACAAGGATATCAGCACACGTAGCTCAAGCACCATTGTACGGAAAAGAGTTCGAGTATAAATTTGAAAACAACAATAGAGTATGCCAGTTTGTCATGTATAGTAGCCATAACTTAAGAAAGCGTGTTGCGTAGGTGGATGGCTGTGCAACTCGTTTTCCGAGTAGAGAATGATGTTGCACCTAATCGATATTAGGCACATGGGATCCAATGCCGTTCATCTTCATGAAGAGAGCTACAAAATATAACGAAAGCCTGATAAAGCGCGAGTCTTTTTGCTCGTGGTTCTTATCTTTAGGCTAAACTAACTGTGGGAATGTTACGATCTTGCCATCAAGGAGGGTAGCGTATTCATAAGTCGGTATCGCTGTAAGGCGCCTCTCCTTATCAATCCCTCCTTCTCCGTACTATCTGTGCGCATCAGCACAGGGAAGATTAGTTAGTTGCCCGTTCCAATTTTAGTGTGCTAGGTGTAGGCAGATGACCGCGGTTGCGCTGCCACAATCGCGGCAAGGAATAGCCGCCCTTCTAAGTGTTGCCAAGGTGGAACCGTTGAAGTCCACAACATGGTATACCATTGTTCAGATAAGACTGTTCATCTTACACGATATCGGCTTCATCCCAGCATACAATCAAACAGACTCAATAGTAATTGAAACAGACACAGATCCTTAGCTTACTTTACACACAATGTTTCGGAAGTTCCATATTGCCGTCCTGGAATGCGACACTCCGGTGCCTGCAGTCAAGAACACCCGCGGATCGTATGGTGAAATCTTTGAGAGTCTCCTAAGCAAAGGGCTCCAGAAACTTAGCCCGCCTCATGATGTGATTCCGGTCATTACGAAATGGGACGTCGTCGCGTCACAAGAGTATCCAGACTTACAGGAAGTTGATGCGATTCTCATTTCAGGGAGCAGTAAGTTTCAGAGCATTTTTTCCAAAATTTCTCTCTTAATCCCGATACTTATATATATATATATATATGAGTAGAGCATACAGCGTTCAAAGACGATGAATGGATTGTCTCGCTAGTTGCATATGTCAAGAGTTTCCTCGAGACCGCAAATAAGCCAGCTGTTGGCATCTGCTTCGGCCATCAAATTATCGGACGTGCCCTAGGTGCCAAGGTTGGGGTCAGCCCTGGCGGATGGGAGATCTCTGTTGAAAACATCGATCTAACACCAAACGGCGAGAAGCTGCTTGGATCAAAGTCACTAGTATGTTTCTTGGCTAAACTTCCCCAATCTCTGAAAGGTCAGTTGACTGATCGTATATCGAACAGAATTTGCATCAAATGCATCGCGATGCCGTTTTAGAAGTTCCCCAGGGGATTCTCAATCTAGGAAGCAGTCCAAAGTGCGAAGCCCAGGGGTTGTACAAGCCCAGACGAGTTCTTTCATTTCAAGCACATCCAGAGTTTGATAATGAGATAATGTCTGAGATTCTCAAAACAAGACACAGTCAGAATGTTTTCACTGATAGCATGTATGAAGATGGATCATCGAGGGCCAACAACAAGCATGATGGAGTTGTTGTTTCCGCGCTCATTTGGAAGTTTGTGCTTGGGCAGCTAGAATAAATTTCATAGCAGAACAAATGCACAGCCTCTAGAGGTTTAATTAATATTTAAAGTTTTTCAAGCTTCAAATTCTCAGCATCGTATATCTGTGCAAGTGCTGCCACGCGCGGGGATACATCTGGATGGTGATTGATTGAAGGCAGGGTTCAAGCCATCGAGTGCTGAAAGTCCACTGTAATAGCTGAGGCCAGCGTGTTCGGCTGCTATCACTCAGTGGACTCTAGTGGTGCGTCCGAGATCGCTCCAGCGTGCTCCGTAGCCGCCAGCTGCCCCTACACTCACCGTAGCAGTGGATATAAGAGCCCAAACGCTTCTCACAGCGCATCAGGCTTCTGTCTCTACTAGAATACCAAACAACACCAAACAACAATTTTTCGTACAGGTTCAACTTGATCTAATAAATCACACTTCTCAACATTTCATTGCCAATCATCAATTTTCATCATGCCAGCGGACATCATCCGAACGCTTTCCCCCTCCACAGGAGAAGTCATCTTCGAGCGTCCGGGTGCCTCCATCGAAGAGGCCCATGCAATGCTCAGCCGTTCATCGGATGCCTTTCGCTCGTACCGCAAGTTGTCTCTCGACGAGCGCAAGACAATTGTCACCAAAGCTCTGGATTTCTTAGCAAATATTCGAGATCATCTGGCCCAGGAACTGACGACGCAGATGGGCAGACCTATCAAGTTTGCCGGCGCCGAAATTGACACAATGCGCAAACGTGCCGATTATCTCATGGACATTGCACCCGATGCGCTGGCGAATATTCCTGGTGTCCCGGAAACTGGATTCAAGAGATGGGTCAGCAGAGAACCTGTTGGACCAGTCCTTATTGTTTCCGCCTGGAATGTAAGCGCCGAGATTCACTCCCTCCTTAAGGTTACCTATGCTAACAAGTGATACCAGTTCCCATGGCTCATCACAATCAACACCTTGGTGCCAGCCTTGCTCGCTGGTAACTCTGTCATCCTGAAGCCTTCGCCTCAGACACCCCTCGTGGCGGAGCGATTCAAGGAAGCCTTCGAGGCTGCTGGTCTGCCCACAGATGTTTTGCAGATTCTTCATACGGCGAGCCTTCCAAAGCTCGAGGAGATTGCCCAGTCTAGCGTCATCAAGCAAATCTGCTTCACGGGCTCGACGGCTGGCGGTTTGGCAATTAGGCGCGCCACCGCTGGGAAGATTGTGCCTGTCAATCTAGAGCTGGGTGGAAAGGACCCGGCCTATGTCAGAGCTGACTCCGATCTCAAGTGGACGGCTGCGAACATTGTCGATGGTGCCATTTTCAATTCGGGCCAGAGCTGCTGCGCTGTCGAGCGTGTATATGTCCATGCCGACGTCCATGATGCGTTCGTTCGGGAGCTTCAGGATGAGCTTCGGGGGTACGTTCAATATTTCTTTATATTTCCATGCTGCTTATTGCTCACAATCATCATAGCTACAACCTAGGCGATCCGAACCAGCAATCTACATCAATCGGACCCGTCATATCCTCGGCTGCGGTCGAGGCCATCGAGGAACAAGTCCGAGATGCCATCTCCAAGGGCGCCGTGGATGCCACCCCTGAGAACGCCAGTTTCACATCACTGCCGACCACCGGTAGCTACATTGCACCTCGTCTACTGACTAACGTGACGCACGACATGGCCGTCGCCAAGGCGGAGACATTCGGGCCCCTTATCCCCGTAATCAAAGTCAAAGATGACGCCGAGGCGGTTGAGCTTATGAACGACAGCGAATACGGTCTTACCGCCAGCATCTGGACCCAAGATCTGGAGCGCGCCTCGGAGCTTATCTCTGAAGTGGAGGCTGGCACTGTTTTCGTTAACCGATGCGACTGTCCAAATCCAGTAAGTTGAGATCTCCCCCTCCCCCCCCTGAAGCTCTCGATTATTCTAACCGCGTAAAGGACTTATCATGGATCGGGTGGAAGAACTCAGGCTTGGGAAGTACTTTGGGGCCGCGCGGGTTCGATGCATTCGTCACGCTAAAGAGCCATCATATTAGAGATAAGCAGGCCTAGAACCGTTAGATAACATGGAATCTCTTTAATCGCCCCCAGATACGGAGTAATGTGTGGTCTCTTAGCGTAGCCGCGGGTAGACCAACGATGCTCTCCGTAGATACGCATTAGTAACACCAATACCCGCGAAATAATAACTGCGTATCGAACAAGGCCACATGATAAGATCCTGGTTCCAGTAATAAGTACCATGTGGAATGCAATCTTCGCGAGGCGCGCCGTGAACCGCAGAGTTGAACACTCAGCAGTATCACGAGGTGTATATCGCTTGCCGCGGTGTGGGTAGCACTACTCCTCCATCCCCACGTAGGCGCCTGGTCTCGTGGGGTAATGTTGCTTACTCGATCAAAGAGACTCATGAGTCCGCATAATGAAGATAAAGCAACAGATCTCAGGGATAAATATTGTTCATACTCGTATCTAAACCACATATTACGCCAGCAATAGCAGCACAACACAACACGACAACACTTTATTCTACATATACACATACCCTCGAACATCCCCCTTTCTCGACTACATAGACTGTTATACCAAAGCTCAACGCCTTCATTACAATCATGCCCGGAAGACTCGCTGGTAAAAATGCCATCATCACGGGTGCTGCTGGGTGAGTGACAAGCAACTAGATCTGCTTATGGTCCCCAACCATATCTCGGAGAATGATGAAACTGATGTCTAATCAGAGGGATTGGCCTTGAGACAGCCATTTTGATGAGCCAAGAGGGCGCATCGGTCCTCCTGACCGATGTAGCCGCACCAGCCCTAGAGCGTGCGCTCGCCAAAGTAAAGGAAGTTGTTTCCTCGAGAGAGGGCAAACTCGAGACAAAAGTTGTCGATGTGTCCAAGGAATCAGACATTGAAGCCGCAGTCAACCACCTCGACTCTTGGGGCGGCGTCGATGTCATGTTCAACAATGCAGGCATCATGCACGCCAAAGATGGAGATACAGAAGAGTGCCCAGAAAGCATCTGGGACTTGACCCAAAACATTAATGTCAAGGGAGTGTTGTTCGGATGTAAGCATGCCGTGAGAAGTCTTCGCAAGCACAAGAAGACCAAGGGAAGCATCATCAACACAGCCAGTGTGGTAGCTCTTGTCGGTGCTGCCACCCCCCAGCTTGCGTATACGGCGAGCAAGGGCGCAGTGCTCGCTCTGACCCGAGAATTGGCCATCGTCCACGCTCGTGAGGGCTATCGCTTCAACTCTCTTTGCCCCGCCCCTCTCAAGTAAGATTATCCAATCCTCCGCCTCTGCTAGCATTGTATATCTGACTTTAGAAACAGCACACCGCTACTGCAGGACTGGCTCGGCGATGACAAGGCAAAGAGATTTCGAAGGGAGGTGCATTTCCCCACCGGTCGGTTCGGTGAAGCCATTGAGCAGGCAAGGGCAGTCGTTTTCCTCGCTAGTGACGAGAGTAGCTTCGTCAATGCTGCAGATTTCGTGGTCGATGGAGGATTGACCAAGGCATATGTTACTCCTGAGGGACCAGCTACCGAAGCCCCAAAGAACCTTGGAAGCTAAGTTTAGGAAACCTAATAATAAAGATCCTCTCCTTGTGAGCACAAACAAAAATTATGCAACCAATTCGTTTTTCACGCAAATGAGATCCATATCTGCTTCTCTTCCATCATCTTGGACAAGTTCCAGGGGCTGATATCCTCCAGTGGCTGGGTCCACACATGTTCTAACAAAACAAGTGTTTCCCTCATATTTCCCAGGCTCATCGTACCAAGCATTGTTTGTAGTCTGTTTCGTACAATATCTCGTTGAGTCTCTTCAGATATGCAGCATCCAATGATTGCCAACGGCCAGCAAAGGCTCGTGTTGACTCTTGCAGTTGCGGGAAATTGACTAAGCAAAGCCAGAGCCTCTATAACAGCGTCTTTCATTAGATTGTGATGCATTTTGTTGCCCTCATACATCGTGTGAGGACCAGCCAAAATGCTCCAGAGATATAGCAGCACAGCTTGCTTAAACACGAGCCCAGCCAAAGCTGTCTCTGGGTGAACTGTCGGTACAGATTGGAATGCAAGTACCCGGGCTTGCAACAGCGCATATTGTGTGATTTCGTCTGGCGACGGGGGTCTGATCGAGTCTTGGCTGGATTCCTTCATGCTTTCTCCAAGAGCAAAGATTTGCGGAATCACCAGTAAGAGTTCGAGCCAGCAGCCACAGAGTTGGCCTACATATTTTCCCTCCACCATCTTGTTGGCCATGGCCTCAATTTCTGGTTCCATGGGGGAGTTGAGTCGAATTTGAGGAGCCATGCCGATGATGCTAAGCGCAGACATATGACTGTAGTACTCCACAAGAAAGTTTTGCAGGTCTAGAGTCATTCCTACGCAACGTTGGGGTAGAACCTTCTTCAGTAAGCTCTTGGCCGCAATTATATGATTAAATGTCGATCCGTGAATGTCTCCGCTAGCAACCTGTATGATTCAATGTCAGCAGCCGAGCCAGCGTAAGGAAAACAGCAGAATTTCAACATTAATGATTACCTCTGTCAATGATAAAATCAGGCTACCAACAGCCAGTGGTAGAATACCATCATGTTTTCCCGACAAGTAAACGCCAACCAGGGCTCTGAAGAGTCGTAGTGAATCAGTATAGTGGCGCTCTGCCAGCTCGTTGCTAGGCTGCCGATCTTGGGACACTTGTCGATGGACGGCACTTTGGGCGAGAATAAGTCTTAGTACCAGGTTGTTCTGGAAGGCGAGCGGTACAAGCTGGACAACGAATGGGTTCACGTCTGTTGAGCCATTCCCCATGCTGTTCGCTGTCTTTTGCAGATAGAAGCTAAGCAGCTCGGACGAGTCGTGGTCTATGTGTGGCAATATGCTGAGGCTGGCCGGAATATTTTCCGTGGGAGAAGGAGGCATTGGTTCCATCAAAGCTTCCCATAAATTTGGACTTGCAATCATACAAGTTTCAGTTGAGATGTATGGGTCGAAGTTATCCACTTGCGCAATGTCTTGCTCGTCACCAGGCTCATCAAGAGCGTTTTGCGGAGCCCCGGCATCTTCAATCGGGAGAAGAGACACAGACTCCGAGGTCGAGGACTTCGAGGCATCCGAGAAGGAGCCATGGTGTGTCTCAGTCTCGATCAAAGGACTCAGGATGGTTTCTGGCGACAATACATCCAGGTACCCTCTGGTCACATCAGTCTCTTGCAGAGCACACTCTGACGAATCCGCATTTATAGTGGATCCGCAGGCCTCAGTTTCCGGTACAAAAACGCTCCGTGAACGCGGTGCCAGAGCTTTATGCCCAGCAGAAGAATTGGCGAGAGAAATGATGTCTGCGTCAATTCCTTCAGAGCCCCCCTGACCTGGTTTTCTCATCCGCTCGGCGGGCCATTTGCATTCGAGCTTGTTGCGAGTGCAACCCTTGCAAACGGGCTTCTTCTCATCACACTTCTTCTTGCGCCGACGGCAGGTGAAACAACCTCTTCTGCTGCGCGTGGGAGGCACATAGGACGCGTTTTCTGACATGGTGGCTGGTGCGCCGGAGGGATATTGACGGTCAATCCAGCCAGCTAGAATGGCGGAAAATACAAGAACCGCTAAATGTTGTCTTACGGTACGACGATATTTTATCTCTTGGGGTTTTCATGCAGACTTGAATCGGTGGTGATATGATCGAACGGGAGGGGGAGAAGTCTCAACAGCTTCCGGTCCCCGGATTTCTTATCTTATCGGCCGATGACCGAGTTCCCGTCTGCCTACCCTATAGCCCAACACCACGACATGCTTTGAGAGGATGCTTAGAAATGGATAAAATAATAAATACAAATCAATAGAAATGGCATGTTCCAATTCAATTCAATGTAATCTATTTGAAGAATAATATTGATGTGCCGGATACAGTTTTGCTTTGAATGACGCTTACAATCGAAGACATATTTGAGGTAGAACGATCGTCAAATCCCATCTTCTAACCCTTTTCCTGTAAACATAACCCACAAAATAGATAGCAAAAGTTCTAGAACCAATACAATTATAAAGATGTTTTAACTTATCTCTACTATATCTGCGCCGCATATCTATACCTATTATGAAGCCACTTTGTATCTTGATCTACTCATCAGCCTCGATTACTCGGTCGGAAATTTGAAACATTCGTCCCCGCTTTTGATTGCCAAGGGCACAATCATGCCGACAAATCCATCAGCCAATGAACGCTCTTACCGCGCTGCGAGCCGCGGTACGGAGGTACATGCTGACTCGTATCGAAACCGGTAGCGGAACTTTCCATCTGAAAGACGGTTCGATTGGGCTGAGTTCAGTGGGTTCTTGACGTAGTCTTTCTCATGCTTTCTTGGATCTGGAATTTGATGAATTTTGTACGTAAAAATTTGCTTCCCCACGGGGAAGATATCGTCGTATGATTCATATCTTGTCTGGTTATCTCTCTTCAACGAATTATGCCTGCCTGAGTGTCATATAGCCTTGCCAAGTCCTGCTCAAACCGTTGTCTCACTGTTGCATTGTTCTGACCTCTCCATTGCCGATACCTATACTTTCCTTAACCAGCTTTCTTCTCTATTATCATTGTCTCCTATTCAGCCGTTCACACATGAGAACTGAGAGGTTTTCTGCAAACTCTTCTCCTATCATGGCCCCCCAAAATGCCCACCAAGCCATGGAGCAGGTGGCATACAAACACGAGCTTCCACAGCATCTCAGCATGATGAGCATTCTGGGAATGTCATTTGCCATCATGGCCGTTCCTTTTGGTCTGTCGACGACTATGTACATCACGCTCACAACCGGTCAGTCTGTCAGCGTTCTCTGGGGATGGGTCATTGTGTCTATCATATCGCTTTGCATCGCTGCTTCTCTTGCGGAAATATGCGCCGTGTATCCTACAGCTGGTGGAACCTATCATTGGTCGTTTCTTCTTTGCACACCAAAATATGCGCCGGCTGTGAGTTTCATCGACGGGTGGCTAGGTCTGGTTGGAAACTGGACGGTCTGGTACGAAATACCCCCTTTCCGCCAACTTTGAAATAGTCTAACCGTTGATTACCTAGCCTATCGATCACGTTTGCGGGCGCCCAGTTGGTCCTCAGCGCCATCTCGATTTTTAACGAGGACTTTGTTCCTAATCAGTGGCAAACCGTTCTTTGCTTCTGGGCAGTGATGCTGGTTTCTGCGCTTGTCAACATTTTCGGATCCCGCTACCTCGATTTGATCAACAAAATCTGTATATATTGGACGGCTTTGAGCGTTGTTATCTTGATGGTAACTCTCCTGGCTACCGCCGACGAGAAGCGCTCAGCCAGTTTTGTATTTACTCATTACGATGCATCTGCCAGCGGCTGGCCTTCCGGCTGGGCCTTTTTTGTTGGATTACTTCAGCGTAAGTGCATCAATGTACGGTCCGAATTGTCTTGATGTCTTCATTCTAACTAGTCATCTATAGCTGCGTATACCTTGACCGGGTACGGAATGGTGCCATCGATGTGCGACGAAGTTCAGAATCCCGAACGCGAGGTCCCCAAAGCCATTGTCCTCTCTGTGTTTGCTGCGGGTATCACAGGTCTTCTCTACCTCGTTCCACTGCTATTCGTCATGCCCGATATCGAGATGCTGCTGAACGTCGCAAATGGGCAGCCTATCGGCCTTTTGTTCACAACTGTCACTCGCTCCAAGGCAGGAGGCTTCTGCCTCCTTTTCCTAATCCTGGGCATTCTCCTTTTCGCTGGTATTGGGTCATTGACGGCCGCTTCACGCTGTACCTACGCTTTTGCTCGTGATGGTGCCATTCCAGGGTCTCAAACATGGAGTCGAGTTCACAAGAAACTCGAGGTTCCCTTGAACTCCATTCTGCTTTCATCAGCCGTCATTTGCTTGCTTGGGTGCATTTATTTTGGCAGCCTTTCTGCCTTCAATAGCTTTACAGGTGTTGCCACCATTTGCCTGTCTACCTCCTACTGTGTTCCAATTATAGTGAGCATGGCAAGGGGAAGGGCAGCGGTCAAGGATTCACTGTTTCCTCTGAAGGGCGCCGGTTATCTCATCAATGGAATTTCAGCAGTCTGGATCTTCTTTGCGGTGGTTATTTTCAGCATGCCGGTATCATTACCCGTTGATGCCGAAACCATGAACTATGCCTCGGTAGTCTTTGCAGGTTTCGCCGCCATTAGTGCCATTTGGTATGCGGTTCATGGGCGGAAGAACTTCAAAGGGCCTTCTTTTGGTGACGAAACGTCGGATGGGGTGACTCCGGATATGGGTACTGAGATCAGCGGAAAGAAGGACAGTATTTAAGATAGGATTCAGAGGAATTGATGCCTACACGATCTTGTGGCATTCCGAAGAGACATCCAGAGATTTATTACACTATATACATTAATCGTTAAGGGAGATTCAAGACATTCATTCATTTGTTAATTCATTATTATCATGGCCCGAATAGCTTCGACTTCTCGTGGTTGGAATAACCATTTGACATACCACTCGTCGCTGCTGTTGAGGCGAACCAACTTGCTATGTGAACAACCGCGAGAGTTACCCAGTCACGCGTATAATCAGGCCCGCCCGCAGTATTGAGGGCGGCCAAAAAGTTCCTGGATTGAAACCTGTCCACATGGTCATGCAGCGCGGCTACGCTAAAGGAGGGTGGAGAAGCCGCGGTCTAGATACGCTGAGATAGCTCTTGGTTAGATCCGCTCCTGAACTAGGACTGGATTGGAAACATGTCACGACGCGGTTATTCGGAAACTCAAAGTAATTTCATGCCGCTATCTATCCCATGGTGTAGTTATGGAGCGGCTTGTCTCGTCTCAAGATTACCGCGCGGGCTACAGTCAGATACCGCAGAGTTCAAAAATGGGGTAAAGTGGACTATTAGATAATTCCCGTATGTATTACTGCAAATCGGGGTCTTTGATTTAAATAAGCTTCCCCTTATGAAATCAATGCCAAGTCATCTTTGGCCGGTTTGCAGTTACAGCCGTTACTCTCGCACATTTACTTCAAGTCAGAGACCATGACAGTTCTTACCACGGAAACCGTTGGGGAGTTCCTCAAAGATGATATCAAGGTCAAGGTGGCTGGCGTTGATGCCGATGGTGTCCTCCGTGGCAAAATCATGGCCAAGGAGAAATTTGTGTCAACTGTGAAGTCTGGATTCGGCTTCAGCTCAGCAATTTTCGGATGGGATATGCATGATGAACTCTACGCAACAGATGATAGCGCAGAGCCAGAAGGTTACTCCGACTTGACTGCTGTGGCAGATTTAACCTCGTTCAGAAGACTGCCCTGGGAGGATAACATTCCATTTTTCATGTTGACTTTCAAGGTTGATGAGAAACCAGCGGCGGGCTGCCCTCGTGGTTTGATAGACGGCGTCAAACAGAAGTTGGGGCAAGAGGGCTATCATCCCCTAGCTGGAGGTAAGCATTTCACAGGCCCAACCGATAGGATCAACGCTAAATATCATGATTCTAGTTGAATTGGAGTTTGTAAATTTCCAAACACCAAGCGAGGACGGTTATGGCAACCCAGGAGCTAGGCCTGATCTCGCAGCATTCATATCCAAGAGTGGTCCACAAGCTGTTCGTCCAATTACTCAAGGCATGTTTGGATACAGTATGACCAGACCTGTTGCATCCAAGAGATACTTTCACGACATTTTTGATACAAGTGCCAAAGTTCGTTGCAATTTGGAAGTATGGCACACAGAAAGTGGTCCTGGAGTGTTTGAAGCAGTAAGTGATCTCGTTCATCTTGTGCGTCTCCCACCCTCCTAACATTCGTTTCAGGCTCTCGGTGTACAAGATGCAGCCGAAATGGCAGATAGAGTCAGTTTATTTAAGTAAGACCTCCTTTATTCCTCTCGCCAGTGTATCCAAATGCTGATCTTTGCAGACTATTAACGAGATCTCTGGGAGTGGACCACAATATTACGCCATGCTTCATGGCGAAACCACTCCAAGGGCTTCCCGGTAGCTCTGGCCATATTCACGTTTCTTTAGTCGACAGCAATGGTAAAAACTTGTTCGCCAGAGACTCACCGAACCCCAACCCACAGTGGAAAGATTTGGAGCACTTTTCCGACTTGGGCTGCCACTTCCTGGCTGGTATCATCGACGCACTCCCAGACATTATGCCTTTATTTGCCCCAACGGTAAACTCATATAAGCGTTATGTCGAAAATTTCTGGGCCCCAGTATTTGTCACCTGGGGATTCGAGGACCGCATTGCCTCTCTGCGCTTGATCGGCCCCCCTTCATGCAAGGCATCGGCAACTCGAATTGAGGTCCGTATTCCAGGCGCCGATTTACATCCTCACTATGCTCTGAGCGCCATTTTCAGTGCTGGTCTTCGGGGTATACAGAAGAAACTCGACATCAAGGTGCCACCACAATCAGCAAGAAAGAAGGCAGATGGCAAGCCCTTGAGGTTGGCGGATACTCTCCAGCAAGCCTTGGATCGCTTCTCGGCACCTACCAGCGTCGCGAGAGAACTTTTAGGTGATGAGTTTGTTGACTTTTTCACAATTTCCAGGCGTCATGAGCTTAAGCTCTGGCGGGAGGCTGTTACTGATTGGGAATTTACTCGATATATTGAGCTTGTATGAACAATAACCTAGAAAACATAGCGATTTAATTGTGTAATTTATATCACTATTGAAATTTCAAAAGAGTCACGCTAAATGATGACAAGAGACCGTTGTTGAATGATGACTATCTATAATTTGGTCATATCATGGCAATTTACAAGACTGGAAATGCGAGTCACTAGGAACTGAGAACGCAACGGTCGTCTCCCGAAAGGGCCTCACAATACCATCGCGAGTATATTTCAAGAGACTGTGTGTGATTTTCATTATGATTTTTCAATTCCTCATCTACATGTGACAGCTAAGGTTGAGTCCATTAAATACATACCCAACAGTGACCATGCCTTGCACCTTCAGCTTTCAACCCTTCCTCTCCCTGGACAATGTATCTTTCAGCCCATCTTCATCGTCAAGCTCGCCCTCTCGTGCCACTGACGGTCCTGACTTTTGTCTCTGATAGAAATGCCACTCAAACTCGGCGGGATAGAAGCCACCGTATTCCCAGTCAATAATGGCGTTGATTTTCAGTGTATATGGATCGACAATGATATTGTTCGCTGATAGGTCATTATGGCAAAAGACAAGGTCCCTAGACTCTCGATCCTGCATCCTCCAAGGCCTTCCATCTGAATGTCGCATGATTCTATATGGCGGCAAGACCTATCGCTAATTAGCATCCATAATATGACGTTTATTGGGAAAGACCTATATACCACACCGCCAGGTCCTCCCCAAACATTGGATTTTAATTCCTTCAAGGTTTCCACATGACCTTGAAGCTCCTTTGCAACAATATCCTTCTTCTCAACGTCAAGATCATTCATATTGACACCCTCAATATACTCAGTAATAAGGTAGGCAGCACCATCGTCCTCGAAGCACGCGTAGAGCTTCGGCAGTGGGATATTGGTGTTTGCAGCGAGGAATTGGAGACAAGCGCCTTCGTTCAAGATGCGCTCAGTCCCGAATCGCGGTACGTACATATAGCCATTGTGTTTTTGCCATTCGGATGGGCGCAGACTTCGCTTGATAAAGGTCCCCCCGACTCGATAATATTTCCGATCGGCGGTTACTGCAAAGCAGTGTTCCTCCCGCTTCGCATTCAGTTCTGAATTGGTTGGTGGTGGCATGCTCCAAAAATCGATAGAAAAAGGATGATGAGGGGATGGAGGGAAAATGTGACCAGATTTGAGGCTTAATAGTTGTTGGTCGTGGTCCAGCACTGCCCTGTGGGTCCCACGAGATAAGTAATAGAAGAAACTCAAGCCACGAAAAGACCGTTTGATAACGGCCCAAGGATAAAACTAAAGGGGACCGATTTGAAGACAATATGAGTAAGTGAAGCGGCCCAGCTGGCCTCAGTCAACCTCAGTCCAGCCCAGTTCTAGCTCACTCAGTCTAGGCTTAGCCCTCACTCAGATTATATAATCATGCTTAGTTTCAAGAATGGATGTAGCTTTTGGTCAGATTATTTCATAGTATAGTGTTTGGTTGTAGAAAAAGCAAGGCTGGATAACTTTAGTACCCGATCGACAGTCTTACATCAGCCTATGCGTACTCTCCTCGTCCGCAAGTACCTTATTCCCTAGTTGTAGCCTAAATGGGAAGATATTCTCGCATCAACCGAGAGCCCTTCGCCTCTCAAAAGCCTGCACACACAGAGGCCATTAGCCAACAAGCGGAGAGAGTGGGTTACGAGGGAGGGCGAGTCCTACGTTAAAAGATCCTAAAGACGCACCTCGCATGCTTACGACCCGCAGCTAAATGGTTATTTCGCAAAATGTTTGGCTCTGATTGGACATTTGATTATCCCTGATTTGCTAGGATATCCAGTTCATCAATGCGAAACATCGTAATTCCCTGATTTGTACTCTGCCGATAACGCGTGATCAGTAAGGTGCAGGGAAAGAGTCTGGGTATTAATGAAGATCGTTCCACGACGGTCATCGAAGAAGAGCTACAACACGTCGTCTCTACGGTTTCGATTCTATCACTCATGATCCATTCTAGGCGAGGAAGAAAAAGAAGTCATCATGTTACCTTTCTCAGCTCTACTACTTATTGCAATTTTTGCTCGTCAAGGCTTTGCAGCTTTACCGACCTGCAACGCTCAACGGCCCAATATTGTCTTTATCTTTACCGATGATCAAGATCTTCATTTGAATTCGTTGGACTACATGCAAAACGTGCAAAATCTCATCGTGGATCAAGGAACTACATTTACCAAGCACTTCGCGACCGTTTCCAATTGCTGTCCTAGTCGAGCATCCTTGCTTCGAGGCCAACACGGCCACAACACCAATATCACTCATGTGCGAAACCCAGGGTATGAAAGTGTCAAGTATTGAAATATTAAACGCTGGACTAACCAAAATTTCTAGTGGAAACTATCAGAAATGGCGTTTGATGGGTGAGGATCATAATTATCTGCCCATATGGTTACAAAATGCTGGATACCGAACCGAGTGTATGATTTCCCCCTACAATAGCTGGATAGACCGTTCGATTAATCATGGATTGTAGATATTGGCAAATTTCTGAATGGCTATAGCAAGGCTTTGTATCAGAATACTCCTAAGGGCTGGGACCATATCGATGCTTTGGTGAGCCTACGATCAAGATCTACAATACCCAAGTTTGTGATGAATTAACTTATTCCGGCAAAGGTTGACCCATGGGTGTACGACTTCAACCGACCTGTCTTCTCTGCTAACGGTGAAACGCCTATGTTATTCCAGGGGTATCATCAAACCGACGTATTGCGAGCGAAGATGTAGATCAACCACTGGAATCACCAAGTATGCCCACTAACATATTCTTAGGACGGCAAGGCTCAAGTACCTTACCGAAGAGCAAGGAAAGCCCTTTTATCTTACCCTCGGCACTGTTGCGCCCCATGTTCGAACCGGCGGCGATCTCCCAATTGCTCAGGTGCGGCATCAGCAAGACTTTCTCACCGCCACGGCACCCCGGACAAAGAATTTCAACCCAGATCAAGTGTATACAGATCAGAAGCCATCGTGGCTTAAAGAATTCAACTCTCTGAATCGATCGCAGCTAGACCGCATAGATGAGCACTACCGTCGCCGAGTCCAGACGCTTCAAGGCGTAGACGAGATTGTGCACGACGTCGTTGAGCTACTGCGGGAGAAAAACGTCTTGGACAATACTTATAGTAAGTAAATCTGAGTCAGTTCGGCAATGGAACGCTTCGGTAACGGCATATAGTTGTATTTTCGGCTGATAATGGTTATCATATGGGCCAGCACCGTGCAGGTGCTGGCAAGACGTTGCCTTACATCACTGATACTAACGTTCCCTTCCTCGTACGAGGCCCCGATGTCCCCCAAGGTGTTATCTCGATATTGCCTAGCAAACATCTAGATTTGGCACCCACTTTCTTAGAAATTGCATGCGTTGATGAATCCGAGTACCCTGTATTCCTTGATGGCCGAAGTGTCCTCAGTAACTGGCATAACCCTCGGAATGCAACTGACCCCAAGCACCATGATATTATCAACATCGAATTTTGGGGTGGCGGAGAAAGCGAGTTACCAGGGCAAAGCGGAGATAGAAGAAACAGCTATAAAGCGATTCGTGTCATTGGGACTAAGTCGTCCTGGTTGTACACCAAGTGGTGCACGGGCGACACGGAGCTTTATGACACTTTGGTCAGAATACTCTCCTTACATCCCATGCTAGCTGTCTATCTAACCATGTAGCAGGATGATCCGTGGGAGCTCAATAACCTCGCCCACGAGTCCAACGATCCCGACGAGGAGACCACTCGTCTCATCCATCGTCTCAACGGTATTCTCCTCGTCACCAAGTCGTGCCAGCAAGACAACTGCCGCAACCCTTGGACCGTCTTGCAGAACCATTGCAAAACGGAGGATCCGGATTGCCCCCATGGCGATATCTTTTCCAACCTCGAGGCCGCTATGGAGACAAAATATGATGCCTTCTTTAAGAGCCTTCCGGAATTCAATTTCAAGGAATGTCTTCTTGTACAAGTCGCTGACAATGAGGAGCCATTTTTACCTGCCTCGTCTAAGAAGCTTGGAGGCGACTTCCGCGAACATGTCGACCGATATATCGACCCGTCTACAAATTCCACGAAGGATGTTCCGTTCAACAGCCAGCAGCAGGGCACCCAAGAGCAGCGGAATATTCAGATTGATAAAATGATGGAGACGGCCCGAAAATTAACATCGGAGGAACTGGGTACTTGAGGCCCAGATTTCTTAAGCCCCTTTCATACTTGTTAAGTAAGGGCTCTTTGAGCACAAGTAATACGAAAGCATATAACATGTACTTGGTATCAGTCATAGCATAAGTCTCACAGGCCAGCGAAGCTTGGAAAGAGAAAAAGAAGGGGGTAACAGCGATGTCTGAGGTGGAGATAGTGTGGCACCTTTGCAACGTCACTTGGTGCATTGCATTGAATGTGTCTGCAACAATAAATGGCGCTTTCCGACAATGCCTCATCATTGCTGTGCTAATATGAAAGAAGGTAGAGACTCTTAAATTAGGTATTTCTTTTAACTTCTCGAATGTATTCCTCCGACTAAAGCACCGTATTCTTCGTTACTGCCAACATGAATAGTCCAGCCGGATGTTATGGATCAGTGATGCTTGCGATGAACTTAGGTGAATGTCGGTGGGGAGCTTCCCCTCATGCATGTAACTTCCAAGGATGGTTTGTCATTTATTTCCCATTAGTGGAGCTTATTCATGCGTTGGGGCGGGATGTTTTGCAGACAACAGTGCATTGCAAAATGACAAGCATTCTGCATATATGCAGCCACTTAACGCAGAGCCCGCTGTTCATAACCTGATTTGGATCGATAAAGAGTCAGATGCTCATTTCTCGCGGGTGACAGGCGACTGCGTGCTAGGCCCTAGTTGCTCCAAGTGTGATTCAATAGAGAAAAAAACTCCGCCAGCGCCCCTTGTGGGCATCAGAATACAAGAGATATGATGTTCATCATCCCCAACTGTCAAGCATGCAATGAGAGAAGTGGCAAAATACTGTGGTGGACTTCAAATTGGATATCCGTGGGGTTGAAAAAATCGTAGTTCTCATTATTCGTTTCTTACAAAATCATCATATAACATGTTCCAAATTTGGTGACTAACAATTGTTGAACCTTCACCGAGCCATCCTAGCCTAGGGGTCATAATACCTAGGCTTTCTTAGATCACAAATGGAAGTGGACAAATGAAAAAGTAACGGGTATACAAAAGTGCGGGAATCAAGTTGGATGTAAGCCCGCATTCAGCAACATTGCCAGAGGGTCGCCGTTGGTGACCAAGGCTGTGCTGCCAATTAGAATGGTATTGTCGTCTTCAACATCGATGGAGACCCAAGAAAGTTGATTTTGGGGAGATAAGAAGACGACTTTTCTCCAATCCTTGAGGTACATAAAATGTGAGCCCCTCTTCGCTCTGCAGACCAATTCAGGGGCCTCCAGCTCATCCCACCAAGGGTGACCCCGGAAGAGATAAATGCCATCATCGGCCGAGCGGGAAAGGACGGCAATAATACCTGCAGTCCCATGTCCCTCAACAAGGCGGCATGATACAGGCATTGAGCTGGGTGGCTTTCCATGCCAATTGAGGTCTTTTCTCTGCATCTCATGTGACCTGGGACTCATGTCAGCTCGGCTGAGCGCTCCCCAGGTACGGAGTCCTTCCACCTGGCACTGAACAATGCCATTCTTTGCTAGACTGCGAATACGGAAAGAGTCTGGCTGGAAACATGTAGTGGTGAAGTAATGGGCCTCGGGGTTGGCTGGCATCGACTCCGGTGGGCGTGTCATGAGCCAGCCTCCATCATCTTTGTCTACGCGAGCTGCAATGAGGTCACCAGGTCGCACCTCTGATTCTAGCAGAAGAATGTTGTTCGGGAAGTATTCAGCGCGTGGGTGTAATTTCACAGCGTCGGGAAACTCAAGATTGTTTACATCCCATGATATCTGTTCACTTCCCTTTGGAATCAGCTTGCACTGGGCGAGCACAGGAGGCTGCCCATTCCTCGAGACTGTCTTCTGAAAGAACAATGATAAATTTCCGTTTTTCATGTGCGTTTGAAGTGGTGTTCGTCTGGTAGCTCTGGCAATGGGAGAGCTACCAAAGAGTGACACTGACATTTTACCATCTTCGCCCCTTGCGTTAGATAGCATGGTGAGCTGGATAATATTGTCGGGAAGCTGGTAAAAGAGGAGAGCACATGGAGAGGCTGGGAGCATAACGCTTGCCATAAACGACCCTGAGGCAAGCGCCCTGACAAGATTCGAAACCCCATCCTTCACTGCATATTGGATGGTCTGGCCTGTGTTCGTAGGAGTAGCGGTCTTCGCTGGTCGTGGAAGGGTTTCGGCAGTTCGAGGCCGGGTTTCAATAAATACAGATCCATCGTCGGCCTCTTTTGTGAGATCAAATCGAGGCATTGGAGTCGATGGGGGAATTGGGGTTGATGGAGGAATAGGCATCTTTTCAATGGACCGAGGTGACCCGACGTTGGACTCGTTTCCTTGCTTCTCCCTCTTTCGGAATGTCAAGGATGAAGATGCAAAGCTAGACAATGATAATCTTTTGGAATTCACTCGCTCTGGGTCATAGCGAGATCCTGCTTAACATGAGGTCAGTCGATAAGATTTTCACCACTTCAAGGGTCATTGCTCAGCTCATACCATCTGTTCGAAGAATCGCCCTTTTTGTCCCTTGCTTTCCATCTTGCCTAAGTATGGTTAGACACTCAATCAGGCACACAGATTACACATAATCCGCTTAGACATAGGACACTTACAAGGCGTGGGGGATGTCATCAGAGGCCTTCTGCTTCACCCTCTGAAGAAAACCGCGTAGTCTCTGCTGCAGGGAGCGCGATGCCAGCGCCCTCCCCAGCTGTACGTTTTCAAAATCCTCGCCTTCGGCATATGCATTGTAAAAGTCAAGCTTGATGTTGAGCTTTGCTCGGAAATACTTTTTTACAATTTTGGGCAGCTCGACTTTGGCAAGGGTCTGAACATCCTTCTCCCAATCATGTCCAGTGGCGTGCGTCAGTGTAATACGTATCTTTGTGTCATTATTAGCTGTGATTCAAAATCACCTCAGACTTGACACAGAACTATCTTTGTGGGTAATTGACTTACAGACCGTGGAATGGCGAGTGCTGGAGACGTGTTGATTGGCATCACTGGTGAGACTGTGAAGAAGGCCTTGAACCTCACCGAGATATGTTGCTCAATGAATCTAGCCATCTGGCGATTCTCTTGGAGCGACTCCCATCCGAATTCCTTGCAAATGTTCCATGCTTGGAACCGGAAGGATGGCGGGGACGGTTGGAATGACTCCTCATCGTAACTCAGTCTGGTGAAATCTCGAGTACGGGCTGACTCCGGAGACTCCATTGCGAATGAATGAAGGGCTGGCCTTGTCTGTAATAGGTTATGGTGCTGACAGATGGCGACGGTGAATTTAGACCAACGATGGAAGCGTAGTGCCTATATGAAGTAAACGGACGCCCTGCGTCATGAGTGATCATCTACGTAGGCTAGTTAGTAGGTTGTATTCGCTGGCCATCCCATTGCAGCAGAGGTAAGACATTACGCCCTCCTACGTAACTTCATTAATGCAATGTGCAAGAGAAGTCGAAGGTCAGCTGCCTTGTTGCCCCTTAACCAATCCAGAGGACGCCTTGGGACTCATATCTCCACTGAAAACCTACATATGCCCCTCGCCATGTGTCTGACATTCTATGGAATGATGGTTATCATGCAAAAGCCTTCACTAGTGGGTCATTCATGCTGCTTCCAATAAGGCTTCCCTATCACCGATCAAGGCCATCTAGATGCCAATTCATATCTCACGCGTTTATCTCTCTTATACTGGGACCTGCTATCTAGGCACTCAAACGCACAAGGCTTTGGCATTGATAGATAGCCCCCGAACACCCCGGTCGTGTCATCGGCCGCGTTTGCGTATCGAGAACTCGCGAGGCTGTAAAGAGAGTTGTGGGTGGCACTCTTGCCTCTTCAGGATGCCCGTCAATGCGAAAAATGCCCTCATCACAGTTACTTCTGCAGGTGATACTTAGCCGCTGGTTTCATGCAGGGATGGGCGGCATGGAGTCGGGGGGATCAAGTCACTGGACCTGACTCGCCTTGATTCACGGTCCTCACTCATTGCTAACAGCGCGTACTTTCTCTTTACGGGCCTGGTAGTTAAAGGGATTAGCCCGGGGGCAGGCTTAGTTCAGGATGATGAAACTAAAACCGCCAACTTTAGGGGTCTTCCTACTGCCGCATGGGTTTAGTAGTAGCCTCGTCACGGGCATTGATTGATTAGAGACATGTGTAGTCTCTGCCGACATGAAAGTGCCAACTTGTCATTACCCGTCAAAGTATGAAGTCATCGTCTTTTTTTTAAAAAAAAAAACAAACCCAATTATAACCCAGATGAGGTGGTCTATCCCTTTTTCTTGCAGAGTTTACCTGTCAGTGTACTATCAAACCATCGTGATCAATGCGCTTTAGCCATTTTGTGCGTCACTGCCCAAGATGGGCTCTGTGGAAGCAGCGACCATCGAAGTAAACTTGATTTCCGTCGTGGTAGCCTTGGAATTCCAGCCTGATTTCATATTGGGTTCGTAGCAGCTGATGTAGACCTGCCACGTGCATCAGACGCTGCAGTCGTCATCGGACAGCTCGCGAATGGACTACGCCTCGTATCAAGCTCTGGCTTTGCGTGATGAGAGAACGAACAAGAATGATTTGTGAGCCTCCAGTGGATGCCTGTGGCTCTGTCCGCAACAAATGTCACTGCTTAACACTACTAAAAATGCCGACACATTTATCAATGTCCTACTATCATATAGAACGGCACCAAAGACCAATTGCCACTGCTAAGTTCCTTGATTATTCCTTCCATTTATTTGTTGAAGTTTACGAAATCCAACTGTAGCTATATCTCCCAAATTTGCAATTTTGAGCACGTCATGACAGGAAATGTAATAACAGAGCGATACCATATTCCATCTATCCCAAGCAACTCTTTTTAGCATCCCTCATCACCAACCCCAAGCCCTAATCTATGGGCTTGGTTACCTACCACAGACGGTTACTGTTTATCATCTTCCATGGCTGTACTCTTTTGAATAGTATCTCTCTTTCCAAGCTCGTGATTAGGATCACCGCTGTGGCTATCTCTGTTCCCAAACTCCCTACTTCTTCGAGCCAAGTCTAGGGAGTTTAATGGGGGCGATCAAGAGGAAATTCACTACTGCAAGCCCTACGCAACACAGGAATGTGATTCGTATCGCATCTGCATAGCTTTGAATAACTTGCTCCTTGACAATCTTTCCCGCGGTGCCAACTATTTCTTTGTCGAGTTTGGCCACAGACTCGATTGATCCTCGAACACGCTCAATGATTGCGGCTTTCCACACATCATCTCTGCCTTCGGTAGGATTTATCGTGATGTATTGGTGAAGAAAGCTTAGAAGCGAGTTTTGTACGATAAGCGATGTGGCGCCAATACCGAGAACTGACCCGATGGATCTCCAAAGCATCAGTGTGGAGGAAACCACGGCCTGTTCCTCTTGTGCCGAGGCTGCGAGAACGGCGATGAATGAGCCGGGAAACTGGAAACCTTGTCCTGCTGAGCAGGGGAAGAGAAGAAGAAGATAGACTACGCTAGGCAGGCCGCGGTGCATACAGCACAGCAAAGATGTTCCCAGGAGATAGCAGATTGTCCCACTCATTATAGGCCATTTCAAACGGCGAGTGTACGTGACAAGAAATCCGGTGGCGGTTCCAGTCAGGGAAGCAACTGCAGTCGGCACCACAAGGTAAAGGCCAGATGTTGTTGCAGATGTTAACAGCACAGCTTGGAAATATAAGGGGGCGTTGAAGAGGATTGCGTTCATGAGAAAGGCGGCCACGAAGTTGGAGAAGATGATGTTAGCCCGAGGCCTGCTGTGTAGTAGGTTCAACGGCATAACCGGGAGCTTGGCTCTGCTCTCGACCCAGAGACAGACCGGAAAGCAGATGCCGAAGATGACGAGAGAGGACACCGTAAGGGGATGGGACCCTGTTAATGTCAGTAATAATACGCAGGATTGATTGTTCAAGTTGTCGGAAACTCACATGGCAGTGTATTACCACCGACGGCCTATTATCTGTCAGCTAATTCAATTCGTTATCGGATCAAGAGCGTTGTCTGACTCACCAATCCTAGAATCAAGAACGTTGTGGATGTTGTCAATAGAAACGAGCCCAGAAAGTCAAATGAACCCATTGCCTGTGCGACGGAAATGCCCTTGCTCTGTAGCCCAAGATCGCTGGGGATAATGAACATAGCGATAGACAGACAGATGATCAATGGGAAGACTTGAATGCCAAATTCCCAACGCCATCCTAAGGTGTCTGCCATGAATCCACCCATGGCTGCACCGGAAGATGAAGCTATGCCGTATGTGATGTTGACATAGCTTTGGTATATTCCTCGTCGCCTAGATCAGTCGATCAGCAATTGGTACTTTGCTTATTTTCTACGAGGAGAACTACTGACTCTATTGGGACCAAATCGCTCATCATGATGCTCACCATGGACATCATACTGCCAGCCCCAAGACCACACGCAGCTCTCGCAAAGATAAAACTCAACATGCTTTGAGCCAGGGCACACCACATCGTTGCGAGGGTGAATATACCCAACCCTCCCACGAAGATGGGTTTTCTACCAACTGCATCCGACAATCTTCCAACCACAGGCTGGAAGGCTGAGCTAGTAAGAAGAAATGCAGTAGACAGCCAGGATGCGCTATTTGAGGACTTGAAATAAGAGGTAATCACAGGATGGCTAGATGCCATGATGGTGCCGTCAAAGCAGGCTATGAAATGCGTGAGCATGAGGACCAGAAATATAGCTATGAAGCGCTTATAATCTGTCTCGCTCATGAATTGTCGATCCCCCGAAGCATCATCCTCATCATCGTCACTAGCCTCAACAGCGGTACTAGAGACGTAGGTGTTGGACTTTCCCTTTGATGCATGGGGCAGGTCAAGCTCGCCATCTCCGACATGATGTTGCAACAATGGTGTTCGTTCGGTTGGGACTGATACCTCCTCACACGAAGCCGTCAGAGAGGGGGCACCATCAGGCTGTCGTGAATGCCGTCTGTCGCCTGAGGACGGGGCAGTAGAGGCACAGTGCACGAGTGACTCCTGAGCTCGCGTCATTGTTGCTAACGACGCTGGAATTACCAACACACGACCTGGTTTAGTCTACTGTATCGTCAAGTCGGAAGGCAAGCGAGGGAAAATCTTGCAACGAACCGGTGGGGACGGTTCAGCGAGGGAGAAGTGGGCTTGCGGGAAACAAAACAAACAGCCATGTCAAATAGTTGGTTGGATTCGCCCCCGGTGGATAAGTTCATTCTTCTCGTCCCCGCCCGGCGCGTGACGCTTGAGCCGAAACCGGTCACCGAAAGAGTGAATATGCATGCACGAGACAATGTGACCACGGCGCTTATGTAGGGAGAACGCCTCCTCTGCAAGAAATACCGCTTCCGGCCCACCCTCAAGGGCCAAATGTGACTCTGACCAGGCCTGAAAGAACAATGATTAGCGGTGACCTGGAGGCTGAGTGTGTGAGCAGAGTTTTCGGTCAAACACAAGAGCCCGTCCACGGAGAGGCAGATTCGCCATTCACGCTAATCTAGTGGACATCCCCGTTCTTCACGCAGGGATCAGCCAATGTGCACTCCAGGCAGCCGTCTCTGGTATGCAGCAAAGACTAGATTAGTGCTAACAAGCTCACATATGTGCTCATAGCTCAGCGTGTGGCATGAGAGTCATCGAGGTCATTAAGGCAGGATTCTGAGTAAGGCATTCCTGAGTGACTGTAATTTGTACCGAACTTTGTGGTAAACTGCCAAATTAATTTCTTCTCTATTAACTTTAAATCTATAAATAGATTATATTATTAAAATATTAAAAGGTAAAAAGAAAGAAAATAATCTCTTATATTCGTATGTACCACTGCATACCCTCTTTTACCGGAAGAATATGAATCTTTACCTCCTCCGGCGCATGCGATGCCAAAAGAACAATATTTACGGTGGGGTTGGGAATATCATTAGCAGTACGACATTGGGGTTCGCGATATTTCGTCTTGCCCGAAATCGCGAGAAAGCTGCCGCTAGCACTTGTTATATTGTGCAGAATGGCCATGTCCTGATATATCAAAGCTTTTAGAATTGGCGATATAATAAATACTAGGATCCTTGTCAGCTAGAGACATATTTATTGATATCAACCGTCCCGCCTCCGTCCCCGCGCTACTCCTTCAATATCTAGCATAGAGATACGACTCAACACCTCCACCACCTCCACCGGCCTGAACCTGATCTGCTTGCCTATAATAACGCCCCTGTATGATGACTATCACTGGGTTATGTTCATTGTATTCACAATGAAGATATCGAGGTTCGTTCATGGAATAATGGTTAATAAAGATGAGCATCATACCCTGCCGCTATGCTGATGAAAGCGTGCCGTGCCTGCTGAGTTATGAGAAAACACAAAGGGACATTGTGAAGCATTGTAGTGCACGATACTGTAAGCGTTGATAGAAAGTAGTTGACATCAAGCCAAAATTGCAGCAATTACAACGAAGTGCCGCGTGCGGTAATTGCTCTTCCCTACCCCCACCGGAAAACGTCAAAACGCGGGGTCACAGATTCTCCGCGCACGATCAAGAGGCCATGGACACGAGGTGATCCTATATGCGTGGCTGAGATTTAACGTGCACGAATGTGTCCTTATACATAGTATCGTCTTGTGTACTATATAAGAGCCGTAGAGTTTGTCAATAGCTCGGAGCACGAATGTCTCTTAACTTACCCTCGAATCACATACTCATTCAATACGCTTTATCCACTGGTCCAAGAATCTTGCCAATATGATCAAAGTTTTCTTTTTGATCGCTCTATTAGCCTTCGATCAGGCACTTGCGCTTGGCCACGCAAAACGCCAATCTATTGGAACAGCGACGGTTAACTTAGCTCAGCCTTCAGGCAAGCCTCAGCATCTAGCTTCTGGTTTCATCTATGGGCTACGCGACAATAAAGACGGCAGTGAAAACCGAGAGATTCCTTCTGAGCTCATTAGTGGAATGGGCTTCAATTATTGTCGTGCTGGTGGTGCCCAACTCACTGATGCTCTTGGCTGGGTGGCGGGATCCTACGAAGTGGGTGTACCCATCCCGATGTGTTTCCAATAAACTTATCCATACCTAGGGCTGGTGGAATTCTACTCTGACCAATTATCGCACCACTCGCTCTTTCGGGGGGAGATTCACCTTGCTGATGCATGACCTTTGGGGAGCAGACAGCAAGCAATCTCCTACCTTTTCTTGCCTGGAGATAACGGAAATTGGACGGAATATGACGCATTCCTTGACCGAGTCTTCTCTGATATCACAAAGTTCCACGCCGCTCCCGGACTCGACATTGACATCTGGAATGAACCCGATGGCGCTGGCTTCTGGGGAGCGAGCCAAGACCAATATCTAGCAACCTGAAACCGGACTCACCACAGGCTTCGGTAAGCTTATGTGTCTTCACCAGCTGATGTGCATTTCATTTACAATAAAGAAAAAGAGCCGAGTTACCTCAGGTTCAAATTACAGGTCCATCTACCGCATCTCAGCCAACAACAGGTAATACATGGTGGGACAAGTTCTTATCCTTTGTCGCTGAGACTGGAACCGTACCCGATTACTGGTCTTGGCACTTGCTGAACCCGAGACGCACACTAAGAGCAACCAAACAAAGTTTTGACGTCTTTCGTTCCCGATATAGCTTGCCAGAAAAGCCGATTGTCATCAACGAATATGCGTGGGTCGGCGATAATGAGCAGAGTCCAGCTGGAGGTGTCTTTTATATATCGCAACTGGAGCGCTATAACAGCCATGGGCTTAGGGCCAATTGGGGCAGCAACGAAGTCTTGCATGACACACTGGCCTACCTGGTGATCCGGAACAGCGACGGCTCTTACGAGACAACTGGGGAGTGGCACGTGTACAACTACTATGTAGAACAGATGAAGGGCCAGCGCGTTGCCACCACATCGTCTGCAGATGAGATCTTCGAGGTCTATGCCACGCATGATGCAGATACCAGCTCGGTCAAGGTTTTGGCTGCTGTTCGCCCTATAGCTGGCACCCGAACGTACGATCTCACTATTGCCGGCCTTGATACGATTGGCCACAGCGAAGCTAAGGTCTCTGTCAGAACCCTGAGATTTGACGGCCCAAATAAGGACACAGCAGTGACAGGCCCAGGTGATCTTGGAATTCATTCGCACGATGTTAAAGATGGACAGGTATGTAATTTCTTTTCTCTTTGCCTATCCCTTTGCTCCTGGTCTCCGTGCCGGAAATTGATCATTGATTTTGAAATAATAGGTAACCTTTTGGGTTACCCCGGCTACCGTTACAACCGCGTACGCCTTTGAACTCATTGTCGAATGAGGCAGGGCTAAGTTGGGATATGCATATCCTGATCTGGAGATGAAGTGAGTAACTGCAGTCAAGTTTCGGCCTGAAGTTCCATGCATTGGACAAGGGATATGGAAATTACTCGCTAGTTATTGCGCCCAAATAGGTATAAAACTCATAGAGTACAATCAGTAAGGTGGACTAACTGGAGCTATTCATTTCTGTGCCTACTTAAACATTGTCGGTTTCATTATCCTGATCAAGTATGCTGCCGATAAAACGGAAAGGAAAGATTATGATGAATGTAGAGTCAGACAAATAACCTTGTGTATTCGTAATAGCAAGAAATCTTCTCTGCTACATTCCCAGCTTACCCGCTATCATTATGTTGAAATAGCGACTCTCAAAGTAGGTCAGCCTTCAGGCAAGACTTAGCGTTCAACTTCTGATTCTGTATAAAACAAACGACGCGGTAATTAGCTGCCAGGTTTTTTTGTCGTAGTTGTGTTAAAACAGATACGACTTTCCACTTACAAAGTGCAATCGATAATGTAGCTTTTCCCGAACAATTTATATTCCCTTTTTCCTTCCACCACCATTATCATCATCATCAACTTGGCTGAGTGTTCTACTCAAAGAGACTGACACGATGGTGATGAATATTGAGTTTGGAAAGTGGTCTTGCGAGGAATGATAATGAGGAATCTTGAAGAGCTCTTTGGCCATTCGCGAGTCACTATAGGCGGGACAGTGCGAGGCATTATTGGTTGGGATAGAAAGTTAACCCAGAACTAGTGAAGGGCATGGTATTGACATGCTGCGTATCAAGTTCAGTCTGCGGCATGGAGGGCTTACTATGTCGACTGGCTAAAGCGCTACTTGCGTGATGTGATGAATAGAGCTGGTCTTGGGAAATTTTGTTACTAGAATATAACAATGCTGGGTACGGTTGTATAGAACCTGTTTCTATTGCGCCTTGAATATTGCCTCTTTGTTCGTAGGTGAATTGAGGTGGCATTACTTCTTGAGTTTGATTCCGAGGTAGAGAAGTAGTAGCGGGCTCACGGGCTTGCGTTTGCAAAACCAGGGGCATGCTGGGGGAATGGAAATCTTGAAATGCAGCAAGTTGCTCAGAAAATTCAGACATTAGCCTAAAATTGTTTGTGAACACGTCTGGTTTCTCTAGTTCAGAGGCCGCTAAACTAGACGCGCCTTGCAATAATTGATCAATGTGTGTATCACTAAGCCCTTGTCTCCAGAAAAGGGCTCGAAGCTTTCTATTCTCTTCGAGGGCCTTCTTGGCAGCCGTTTGCATTTGTACGGACGCCTCAATGCCTCGACGCTCGTATGCACGCAGCTGATCCTCAAGATGTTGAACATAGATTTGTTTTCGTGCACGAGATCTTCGCTGATTGTTTCGGGCACGAGAGAGATCGGCAATCTGTGCAGGTGTTCGTTCGTTCGGCATGGAACTAGTTCGGCCGGGTTCTGGCATCGCATTTAAAAAATGAGTACGAAGGAGTTTAAGAGGTAGCAGGTAGCAAGTAGGGTAGTAGGGAAACAAGCAGGGTAGCGTAAACAGTAAATACACACTAGAATACACGGCTTTAAAATATGACAATGGCTCAAAAGAATGGACAACTTCCGAGAATGGTACCAAAAATAGTGATCTATGTTGGGGTTACGAGGTTACACGGCTTACACCCCCTGTAATACAACGGTGCACGCCGGTGGGGAGTTCAGCCTGGGACTATCAGAGGTGTGTGAATAACTCAATTGCTGGCCACGCGAGTCAGTGCGAGAAAACAAGAGACAGGGATCGCAGAATCATACAGACAACTACAGGCAGCCGTTCTTAATAGTAATCCTCAAACCTCCTTTCTTGCAAAGCAAATTATTAATTCTGTCTCCCAAGAAGAGCCAACGGCTAGGAAAATAGCTAATCATTCGCATGTCTGCTCTCAGACTTTCTGCCAACTCTTGTCTCTGAGATATCACTGATATCAAAGGCTCGACTTTCAGTGCCTGTTTTTCTGGCACCCTCTTTTGGCGAGTATGTAATAGGGACGCGTCTGTGTGACGTTAAATATCCGGCCAGGGCTTGTGGAACTTTCTCCGCCAATGAAGCTGTTAGAAAGCCGATAATCTCTGCCGCTATTTGCGGCTGAATCCGTGTTGAGGGTGTGCTGTACAGCTTCAAGTCGCCTCTTGCGGCTGATTCTCGGCGTCACTACAAAATGAGCCTACATGCCCAATCGTCAGCATTCGATAGTGGGACAGACGACTTACGTTAGTTTCATCACACTTAGAGGGTGACATTGTCTGTTCCGAGAGGCAGACCGAGAACAAGCTCTCGTATATATGGTTTATGAAGTCAACAACTGTATTGATTCCTCCTAAATTCTCATTTTCCATGCACTCATTGAGCCGTCATAGCTTCATATTGGCGGATTCAACTTCGCGATCTGTTGATAAACTGAATATCAGCCTATGAACATACATACCACCCCCAAAGCCGATACTAAAGTTGATACACTGAAATGCAATTGCCCCTATACCAGCTTTCGGGACTGCAGTACCTTCATGTTTTGCAATTGTTAAGCCTGGAATCTTCCAACACCAAATTGAGTGGTTTCATTGCTTTGGTATTGCTTTGCTTGAAGTTGTTCTCATTTGAATAAATCATTTGGAAGCATTGGCTGTTAATCACGTAAGCAGAGAGCACTCGTTCTTATACATTCAAGAGGAGGCTTCGAGGCCTTAATGAAATCATAGCCTATGCAACGGAAAACAAATTGCCCTTGGGGCTTGGTTTTACCCATCTGACCTTTGCACCGCAATCCCTGCACAGATTACCTCAATTTAAAGGAGTTCAGTTCCAGTAGTTGCCATGTCGGCAGAATGACCCACAGCGGCGTTAAAATCGCATTCTCGGGTCCGATGATGTCTCTTGTCCGACAGCCGCCTCGCCATGTTTGGCAATGGCGAGCAATATTTAGTATAAAACATGATGATGCTGTGTGTATTCGACCCAGGTTTTTCCCCTTCTTTCTCTTTTTCTTAAATCAAGCGTGGCATTACTAGAACGTAGCTACACCTTCAATTCGGTTTTATTCTCACAGAATGCTTGAGGTTCAAGAGTCCATTCTTATTTCTGCAGCCCCTGCAAAAGTCTGGCAGAAACTAATGGACCTAAAAAGCTGGTCAGAATGGAACACGTTTGTCACATTCATCGAGGTGCAGGCTCCTCATACCAAGTTGTGCATCGGCAGCAAGCAGACTATAACGATCAACAAATCGGAATCGTACACCAACACTGTTTCGGTTTTAGATAATGAGAAAGAACTTCGCTGGAACGGCAATATCCTGATTGCAGCCTTCTTTAATACTGAGCACTGGTGTCGCTTGGAGCCGATTACAGGCGATAAAGAGGCAACCCGCTTTATCCAGGGTGAACGTTTCTCTGGTATTTTGGCACAAGTCGCTGGGGCTATGGGAAAATTAGACGAGTTGAGAAAGGGTTATGCGAGGATGAATTTGGACTTGAAACAGGTGATTGAAGCACAGGTGAAGGAATAAATCCGGCTACTCTGTTTCAACAAATGGTAGATGGTACGTAGCGTGAGAGCACTGTTTTCCTTCAAATTTCCTGGAAATGGCCCTATTACAGACAAGCTCGGCGATAGATATAGAAATTAGTATTTGGCGTTGCCCTCTAGTCAAGTCAGCGGACAAGTTCGGGGTACTGATAGCACTGAATGACGAACCAACCCTGAATTTCTTGTCACTATAGGCTTTCGCTGCTCTTTCCCCCATGCCTTGGACCCTGTCTATACCTATTAATTCACTGCCCGCACTTACCAAACCAGCAGTTTAATAATATAAGCTGAGGGATCTAAACTCTTATTAGCATAAGCTCGTCCATAAAGACATCTCTTTCCCCGCATCTTTTACACAGACGTAAAGTGGAAAACAAGCGGGGAAAGATGGGACTGGGGCGATCCTGGGACAAAAAAAAAGCCAATGGGCCAATCTTTGGTAAGGAAGGGTGGCAATGCATATCCGCACAGCAATGTTCTCGTGTTCTCTTTATGTGGCCAGTCTTGGGTGGTGTGTATACCAAGTGATACGAGATTTCATGTCTACAAACGCTAAGATCGGCACCACGCGAGACATTATCACTTGCAGATAACGGAATACAAAGGGGTACGCTCTAGGTCCCTGGTTCCAACGTTATATACAGTGACCTGTTACTCGATTGAGAGCAGTGGCTGGAAAGTAAACACGCTTTTGGATCCCGCGGGTCCTAGGTGTACACATTATTACTGCATCTCGAGCACTTCTTTAACATTGTAGTGGCCTTGCAACATTTCAAATGGATCTACAGCAATCATACCTAGTCCGAGGTTCAAGGCATTACCCTATTTAGTAGCGGGGCACAAGATCCGCGCCTATGAGATCTGGGCGCTTGGATAAATCAAGAAATAGGTGCTGTATTATCCAAGGAGTCGAACCATAAATAACATATCCGTCCGCCCAGCCGTTTGAGGCTTCTCGTACTACATTCATAAAACAGATTCTGCAACCATGTATCTAAACCCGAAAATCTTCGTTGCTGTTGCCATGGGGGTTACCATGTGCGTACAGGCGGCTCCCGAACTCCATAAATCCTCCATCACCCATCGACCCAGTACTCGTACATCCTCACCACAGGACTACGAGGGTTACGCTTTCCTTTATTTCATTGGATCTAGCGAGCAAGTTTATTTGGCTTCAAGCAATGGGAATGATGCTCTGTCGTTCACGGAGCTGAACAGCGCACAGCCAGTGCTTGTATCTACGGCCGGTGCTGGCGGAGTTAGAGATCCCTTCGTCATGCGCTCCGCTGAGGGAGACAAATTCTTCATATTAGCAACCGACCTCTGCATTAGCTGCGGCACAAGCTGGGGCGAAGCTCAGACCAATGGCAGCTTGCATATTGAGATCTGGGAGTCGCCGGATCTAGTTTCTTTTTCGAAGCAACGACACGTTCT